TACTTATTGTAGCATTCGATGGCCGCTGGGGGAAAAGCACTCGCTGGAGCGGTGCAGCTGTGTGAATCTGTTGCTAAATCGGACAAGCAGGTGCAAAAATGGATAGATGGATGGATGGATGGATGGATGTCTTTTGAGCATTTTGCACACACACACACACACACACACACACATATATATATGATGATATATATATGATGATATATATGATTTCGTTCCCATGCCTAATATCTTTGACCTTGGTATTCTTTTTTTCCTGTCCCGTAAGGCAAAGTGTGAATAAAACATGTCTTTATTCTCAGTGATGAATGGCTTGCTGGCCTGCGTTGGCCTTGAGGTCTGGTATCGTCTCCCCTGCATTCTGGTTGCACTCCACACCTCCTCTACAGCATTAATACAGTCTGGTACCGGTGTCAGCTTTGTCCTTGTTTTATCCCAAAGATATTCCATCAAATGGATATAGGGCATCAGAGTGTTGATTTGCATATTTCGTAGCTGAAACCATTGTGCCTCAGTCAGTGGGGTACTGACTTTTGGTGGGAAAGTGTATATAGTGACTCAACTGAAGCAATATAAGTTTTTAAAAAGGGCAGAACTTCAGCCAGTTACCTACTGTTTTACTGATTAAATGTCACTTTAAATTACCTGAAACAATTCTGGCCAAAGAATCTGACCTCAAAAATTTGCTAACATGGCAACAAGTTTGCAAGAAAGCCCTGAGGAGAATGAACCTGAGATTTACATCAGAGTACTATTTCCACCGAAGACAGAAGAATGCAAAATCCAAATCTAAAATGAGTTTTGCAGTGAACGAGAGCCCTTAAAATGAATTGCATTAAAATATAACGGTCAATTTCCACTAGATGGCACTATAAACATAAATAAAATGGCTATTAATGGATCTTTTTAACGTGACAATTTTATTCTGCCCATTAGAAAAGAATGAACTTATAATTATTTAAACAAAGGCAATTTAATGTATACACTTGTAATTTTATTACAAATGAATAACTGTTGAAACTATAAATGTGAAGAAGAATCTTTTTTACAATATATTTGGGGTAAGAGGGTGTATTCTAATGTGCCTTATAAATTGACAGTAAAATTTGGCTCATTGCAGCCTGTCTTCTTGCACCCTGGAAGGCATCAGATTAGTGACACCTTCAGCAGTCTGACTTGCATTCATTCAGAGGGAGCGCAGTGAAAAAAGAGGAAAAAAGACAAAGAGGGACAGAGTCTGGCTGTTTGCCAGGCAGTTGTATGGACGGCATCCAGGGGTCCATCCGGGAGAAACAGGACCTTGCTGAAGGAAATGGCAATATGTCAAACAATTGGGGTGTGGAGCTCCACGGTCACACCTAGACAGGCACAACTAGCAAGGTACTTTGTCCCCTCTGGCTGAACAAACTCTGCCTTCTGAAGGATTGCCCTGGACTTTCTGGCTCGTCTTCCGGCTGAACGAGTTATAGGCCACCGGCAGCTCCTTTAATCACATTTCATACAACCCCAGAATTAGAAGAGGGAGCCTCGATGTGTTTCATCAGCCTCACGCTTAGCCGAAAAAAGTGCCTGTCATCAAATGCAGGGTAACAGGGACGGGAACACACCTCGGTCCCCATCCCCGCTAAAACCGTATTAGCTTTAATGGCTAGCTCAGCCATTATATTCATATGTAAATTAACGTCTCCCATATCATGGGCAGGTCCTTTGATTTAAGAATCACTTTTACAATTATCAGTGATGTCGCACATATGTGCACATATGTACATATTCCTGTAGCTCAACAGGTGTTGCAGTGTGCTAACAATGCAGAGGTTATTGGTTCAGATCCTAGGGAACACACACTAATTATAACCCTTCACTCTAACGTAGTGTTTTTTTGATCTGCCGGTCAGTCCACATTTTTGCTTCCTCCCAGCCTGGGAGCAAAAATGTGGAATGTCCAGGGAAACTTTGTTGCTTTGAGAAACACTAATCTGCTGTAAGTTGTTTTGAATAAATGTGTCTGAAAAATAAATGTAAATATGTTCCCCTGAATTACTTTAATTATGTATTCTCTTTGTACCCAGGTATAGCTGAACAAGCGTTCCAATCCACCTGCTGCACATGGTCAATAATAATCTTGGATGTCCATCATCATGGTTCCCTCTCCTTAATTTGGTCGAATCATAATAATGATAAAAAAGTTATCCATTTGAACAACATTTCTGGAGCAAAGTTCCCCGATTTACATAGGGTCTACTGGCTTCCCTTACTGTGTGATTGTGTTTGTGAGTGTGTGTGTGCGCAGTGTGATGTGGTGAAGTATGAGCTGTTGGGTGTCCTGCACGTAGCGATGGTACGTGAGTGAGTGCTGAGGGGAGAGGGCAGGTGCGACCTGCTGATCGGGACAAAGTGACACGCGCTTAAGCTGTAACTTTGTGTCCTGTGCCTCCGTCACTGGATACGAGGTTATGGAAGACAGATGAATATGAAAAGGCCCCTCCTGTTAACCTGGATCACAGAAATGAACACCACGCCGTATGTGCTGATTTACTGGAGATGTTTAGGGCATTTCTCAGTCAGAATAAGGCCAAAGAAGGAATTTCCGATGATAAGGGCCAAAGTGTGAATTACTGAGTAGCAAGCAAAGACATTACAGATAATTTACCAGAATATTTCTTCCATGGGTCTTTTTATAATTGATTTTGCCACAAATCTTGGATGGTGGATTAAATGTCATCCTTTTTACCTGTTTAATTTCAAATATCTTTGATTTATTATTACAGTTTCTGCCTCAAGTCTTGCGCAGGAAAATAAGTAATAAATTTAGATTTCTTTCTCATCGTATAGTGCCGGCCCCAAACACCCCCAGGGTTGCAGGTTCGATTTCTCTCTGCAATAATATGGGTTTTCTCTTGCAGTCCAAAGGCATGCAGTTAGATGAGTTACTGTCTCTAAATGATTATGGCTGAATTCGCAGCTGTGAATATTAGCGAACCAGGTCTAACAATGCTGCTAATGTGCAGCAAAGTCTGAATGTCCCCCACCCCACTCCCAATCACACACACACACACACACACACACACTTATACATTCACAAAGGCATCAATAAATAGTCACTTTGGGAAGGAGTCACAGGTGGAACTATTGACATTGACTCAATGGGGCTGAAGTCCAGCTTGCACAATATCGCCTGACTTAATGAGAGCCTACCCATAATGCAAAGCGGGCGTCACCGTGCACTGGTTCCCGCGGCTGTCCTTCACCTGTCCTTCTCCATCATCAGCCAGCATGATGATGAATGGGTCAGGAGTTCTGACAGAGAGAGCTTCCTCTTCATCCACAAATGGGCTTTCAAGTTGCGGCAGGTGGATCTGTCACGAGATCAGGACAAAATACATTAAAATACTAGGCCATAAAACTCCATAAAACCATCACGTGAAACACTACTCGGAATCAGCAGCTTGGTTTACACTCTAAATCAGGGGTCTTCAACTCAGGTCCTGGAGAGCTACTATCCAGTAGGTTTTCTATCCTACTTGGCTTCTGATGAGCCACACCTGCTCCTGGTATTTACCTGAGAACAGGTGTGCCTCATCAGAAGCCGGGTATGACAGAAAACCTACTGGACGGTAGCTCTCCAGGACCGGAGTTGGAAACCCCTGCTCTAAACTGTATAAATAACACGTGCTAATAATGCATTTTATGCAAGATAAATTCCATTCTGTACATAAGTATGCACCGACAGAACAATATTTCTTGACAAAACATTTAACACATATTTCACTCATGAGGAAACTAATGGCAGACACACAATGTAAGGAAGCTAGAATACAGAACTCCAAAACTAACCAGTGCGATTTATCTGTGTCTCCCAGAATCAAGACACAGAGGTTACTGCGAACACAAACTCACAGCAACTCACAGCTTCTTTTTGGCACTGAGGGGCCAAAAATCACCACAGTGTATAATAAACACACGAGTGCATGTCCGCTGTGCCAGGCCACACTGAACAAGGTATTCTGACAGTAGCATCTTCACATTAAAGGGTGAAATGTACACATTTCCTTCAGATGACAGTATGACTCCACACTATAAAACTGTCTGAATCACACTTCTGGACCAAAATAAATCTATGTATCTTCTTTACAGGATTACCTACAAAATAACTTCTTTTAATTATTTTCTAGAGAACTAATCCATAAAAGCAGCTAACAGCAATCTTACGAGTCTACAAACTGACTTAAAAACACTCTGTGTGGTGTTGTGTGTTCTAAAGGACCCTAAGATCAGGACACACTCCAGTGAGTCTCGGAGCAGAGGAAACCAGCCCTCTATTGGATGCATGGATTTTAAATTGTACAGTTCTGTGTACATTCTAAGTGTCACAATCTTAAATATTTCTGCCTGCTACCGCTGCTGACTATTTAATAGTTTTATACTTATTTTGCTAGACATTACATATTTTTTATCAGTTAATTTTACTTTAATACTAAAGCTAGCAATAATTTAACAGAATGAAACAGAAGGTAGGATGTATTCAGAACTATGAGAGTATGTGCTTAGCACAAGATAAACACCATAAAACCTTGATTTGGCAGATGTTGAATATTCAGGCATACCAGACCTACCGCAGGCCAGGAAGTACCCTGTTTTGTTAAATTTATTGGATGTATATGGATGACTGTACCTGCACGTGGTCATTATATATCTGTTTTCTATGAGGAATTTGTGAAGACGTACGTTTTAACTGTTTGTTTTGATTCGTAAAACGTGCAAATACCGAAGGTTTATGTACGTCCTATTATGAAAACATTAAGACTAAATAAATGTTTCAGAGGATATATGTCTTTATTGATTCTTATTGAACTGTTTTGAAAGCCTAGTCTCTTCTGTCTTGACGCACGGTGTTTGTGGAACCTGCTGTCGCGGTTTTACGCCAAACATCATTTTCACAACGAGACATACGAAATGAACACTAAAACTAAATCAGTTCTGGCGTTTACTATATCGCTATGTTTGTAGGGGAAAAAAATAATAAAAAGGAAATAAAACAGCCCCGGTTTCGGACAGCTGGATGCGTCTGGTGTTTTTCCCAGTTACAAACATTTTAATCACCTTCACGGAAATCTGGAGGCAAACCAGATCCAGGGACAATAATTTTCCAAGGCCAGACAGCACGGTGGGTTTTACGAATCCCAGGGTTATGACTTTGATCCCCTGTAAATAAAGGACAGAGATGATTAAAGGGATGTAACATAGTACACTTAATAATATGTAGGGGATGAAAAAGACTCAATAACACATAGCAAAGAGAGTCCCCAAAAAATAAATAACGACCAATACAAGTCAGAAGACTGCACGAACAGGTTTTGCAGAAATACTGCGGCCTGACAAACGGCTATGCGAATCTACTGATCAGACATATCCGTCCGTCCATCCATCCATCCACCATTCCACCTATCTCTTAACCGCTTACACAATGCAGGGGCGTGGAAGGGACCTGGATCCCGTACCAGGAATCACAGGGCACAGACGATTTTGCTGTTAAATCTTGAAAGTACACCCAATAATAAAGCAATCAAGAAATGACATTGATATTGAAATTAAAAATGCAATAGGCCTATAGCCTATCTGAAGACCAGACAGGATTGGAAAATTAAATATCAATAAATAATTAGCCATTTCTACCAGTGAAATCAATCGTATAGAATGTACTGTATACGTCACTATAATTCCCCAATAATAATAATAATAATGTTACTTTCTGGATTGTGATAATCATTATTGCTGTTTTATATTATACACTTCATTTGCTGTAACCGATGCCCAGTTATGGTACCAACTGACACATCATTATTATCAACGATCGTAGATAGGTAGTATATAAGTAAAACTATTATAAAACCTGCCCAAGGCGGGATTATTAAAACACGGAGCTATACACTCATTTACAACACAATTGCTTATCCAATACATAAAAAACAAACACGTGTTGATCCGGAAGAAGCAAATAAGACGCGGAAGTTAACAACATGACGCAAAACGCCTTTTGGAGCTGTCAGTCCAGTTTACATTTACATAATTTAAAAAGCAAGGACCTTGAAATGCATTATGGCATATTGACATTACGAATGCCGATGTAATCTGTCCCTGCCAGGTCACTCCCAGAAAGGTGCGCGACAAGGAAAAAGGTTCCCTGGGAGCAGTTGTCTCTTAGAAAAAATACAATTTTTTTAAAAGAAATACCTTTGCCTTCAGTTGAGATGAACTGTGCACGAACTGATGGTTATGGCCCCTAGAGGCGTAGCCTAAATACCCAGACTTGCATATGTTTGCATATTTGTAACATTCCCGAAGAAGGAAGACCCGAAGCCCAAAGAACGAGTATGATCTAGGTAAGTTGAATTTAACTATATTATGAGAGATAAATCAGCCCCCAAAACATTTCCCATTATATTTTTGATGGTTTTTATCTAATCGAATTAAGTTTAGTTTGTATTGCTGTTGGCACAGAGGAACTAAATGCAGTTAAAGTAACATTTTCAATAGATTTTATTTAGGTAAAAGTACCTAGGTATAAATAATGTTATCAGTCCATAACAATTCGGTCTTTACAGAGGAAAAATAAGAAAACGGAACCGCTATACACTCACAGACAGACTATATACTTCGCAGGATCTGACTTCTTTAAAAGTGTGCGACTCATGCTTCGGTAATCCCAGTTAAATGTGCCAGATCGTCCGAAAATGTTTCCCAATTCATCCATCTCAGTGATCTGGGAGCAGATTGATTAAATGTGGAAGCGAGAATGGGGAAGGGGGCGCGCGCGCGCTCCGTCGCGGCGCGTCCCCGGGTCACGTGGCGAATGTAGCCAAAGCTGGCCGAAGTCGGAAACTTCCTGGGGAGCAGGAGGGCAAAGCAGGGGGGAAAATACCCGGCGTGGGGAAAGCGCTTACGGATCGGCCATCTGAGTGCCGGGAAGGGAGACGCCGGGCGGCGTGCGGTCACGGCTCGCTGTGTTTGGCCTGCCGTGAAGCGGAGTGCCCGGGCTGCTGCTTCGCGGTCAGAAGTTACTTTGGTGCTTTAGCAGGCAACGTGGAGGAGGATGTGGTTAGACTGACTGATAGCTAGCTAGTCAGCTACCCGAAGCCATCTGTTTCGCAAATACCAGTATAAACATAACCGGTTTACGGGATCCGGGATGTAGGCAGGTAAGAATAAGCGGTTCAGATACAATTTCTTACCTCCCCCGTGAATCTGTGCGTGTAAACTCATAACTCGATCAGTACGGTCCACTGAAAACTAGTTAATACATGGGAAAGACAACCGATTGTTTACAGTCGTAAGTGTGCAGTTTATTTATGTCAAACTGTCAAATGCAAAGGTTGGGGTGAGGTAACGGGCAATCGAACCATCCGTGCAAAACTTTCAGAACAATAAACTCAATTTCAGAGCAAAGTAAAACGTTTGTTTCGTTATGCATTCTCTATCCTTAAATATATTGACAGTTTCTCCCAAACCAGGATCTCTTTTAAGCGTGATTGAATGTAAATCTGTTTGTGCTTATTTGCCCCTGTTTATTAAAATAAAGATGATAAAGTTAATTTATGAAACATAAGCTGTCAGAGCTGCGCTTCGATTACACCTGTGGTCACTGCATAACACTGGTTTGTGATGCCCGATCGGAGGCTGGTTGATACCCTAAGCGCAATATCTGTCGGGGACCAGCGACGTCCCGGTGCTAAACAGCAATTAAATATGACAAAATCGACTAGATAGACGATATATTTAATATAATTATGAAGGTATATTTCTATGAGCTGTTTATTAGTTGTGTAACACTCGATTGTATCTCGTTTAAAGGAAAGTGTCAAGGAGTGTCAGCTTAACGTCCTGATCAGTAGTTTCACTTGCAGCTGTGAAAAAAGTCGACCCAGCAGTGGATTAAAAAGATGATCATATGCGATTTTGAATTTTTATACCGACATCAGTGGGCAGATCGGTGTACGCTACTGGGGGTCTCCTTCCCTGCGGATCTGATATGACTGGGAAACACTAACAGAAGTAGCACAAGTCTCAGTGACTGTATGTCAACATCTAGCTGAAACGTGCATGAATTATTTGTAATTTCCCAGTAAATTGATTGACAATCTGATAGCAACATACTGTAGCTGGCGTCAGTGCAGAAAACTTAAGCACGCTTGTTGACAGATGAATGCAGTTCTTGCCCAGATGGAAGATGAGTTAAATCTCTAACTAATGAAGTTATGTCGTGCCCAGGCAACAAGGCAAATATTCCTCATCTGTCCGGAGGCAGACTGTTTGGTTACCCATTCCTCTTTAAAATGCTTTTTGGCTCTGGACTGTGATACAGACCAGGTGTGAGAGTCAGATTTGTGAAGGGCAAACCCTGAGTGTCCTGGCTATCAGATACAGAATGACTGGTTTGACTGATACCTAATATGAACCTTTTCTTAATCAAGGTTACGCACCGCTACACAATCATAGTCCTACAATTAAGGGTTTCCTATGATAAAGTGGTACGTTATTGTAATTTGTTGATTCAGAACGGCAGAATGGCTAATTGAGGGATATCTTCACATTTTACCAATATTATTTTTTTTTGCAAAGTAAATACATCTTCTTCTATTCTGTTTTTTTCCCATGAAGCATAGCCCATCGGGCAGGACACACCCTGAACGGCTCCATTAGAGAGCAAACACCTATTAGAGATACCTTTGCATGGTTGAAGGCAATTCTGCAGAATTTTGCCCCGTGTTGCCTGCAGAGCTGGCCCTAGCTGTAGGCAAAATAGGTAGTTACCTAAGGTCCTGAATTACCTGCGTTGTGGAGGAAGTCTCCTTGGTAGGAGGCCTCTCATGTAAAGCTTCACCTAGGGCCCCTGAAGAAGTGGAGCTGGCTCTGGCTGTCTGAAAGCAGTCCGTGGTGATGAATGGCCGAATATCTTCCAAACAGATTTATAACTGTCAGATATAAGTGACGATTCATAAAGCTGTGCTTCTGTAATATTAATAACCTGAAAGAGGGTGGTTTGAAAGTCCAAGAAATCCAAATGGATCTCAGGGTAGGTAGATGAAATGTTAGAGTGATAGGGGTCCTAAAAAATTTGGAGCACAGTATGATTTGTCTGGGTTGGGGGTCCAAAATCTCTAATGACACCCCTGCGAGCATCTGTGGAATGCTATGGAACCAACAAATCTAATTTACATTAACGTAGCCCCTTACCCAGCTGGGGTCGAGGCATTTTTTGTCGTGACACAATACTCCTCTCTCCAAGTCATCTGCCATTTGTGCCACAGTAGCCCTTCTATTGTGTTCTGTCAGACAGGACAGCCTCCATTCATATCACGCGTTGATGAGTCTCGACCTCCCCAACACTTCGTTGGCTGATCATGGTGTTTCCCTCCTCAGACCACTCTCAGTAGGTGCTCACCATGGCCGACCATGAGCACCACACAAGCCTCACTGTTTCAGAGATGATCTGACCCAGTTGCCTGGTCACAATGATTTGGTCCTCCTGAAAGTCACTCAGACCCCTGGCCATTTCTGCTGCATTCAGGATGTCTACAAGCACCGAATGACAGCTTACTGTCTAGTATATCCCAGATCTTTACATATGCAGTTACAGTCAACTTCATTCGCTTCATAATGTTTTGGTTCATCGGTATATAATTAAGGATATTAATGCCTAGCTTGTGGATATGCTACATCACCTGTGTTTGTACACTTTCCAGGGGGAGGACAGCATTCTGTCCCCTTTGTGGTGTTGCAGGGTGTCACCTGGACTGACACAGCGTGGGGATAATGAGGCTGCGCTGGTCGCGGAGGCTGGGCCTGCTGGCGAGGATGGGCCTGCTGCTGTCCGCCGCGTGGCTGGCCTACACGCTCCTGACTCGCTCCGCCTCCCAGGCCCCGGGGGAGGATGGTGGGAGGCGGAGCCTCCGGGAGCGCGAGGCCAACCCGGCCACGGGGCGGCCGATGGATCCGGCACGTCCCATCTACAGCAAGGCCGACCCGGACCCGTCGGCGCCGGGCGAGTGGGGCAGGGCCACCCGGCTCACGCTGACCGACGACGAGAAGAAGCGGGAGGAGGACTCGCTGGAGCGTTACGCCATCAACATCTATGTCAGCGACCGCATTTCCCTCCACCGGCACATCCAGGACAACAGGATGTACGAGTGAGTGTGCCCTGAGGTGACGGCGTCCCCAGGACAAGATTCACAGACGCCGAAGACACACAGTCCGACCCGATTCATTCCAGCTATCTCTGTATGACAGATTCCCCAAGTTTATAATGTCTCTTTATGTCCGTAATCGATTGCAGTCCATGCCGCAGCTGGGTGAATATTAAATCCGAGAGCCTCAGAGTAGCATCTCTAAAGCGCCGTTATCGCGTCTGAGCACCCAGCAAGAGTCACATGTGCTGCTTTATAATGAAGAGGAATACTTTTGCTCTGAGGCGCCTATTGTTTTATAAAAGGACTTTAAATCAGCAGTAACTGTTGAGCTTCCTGTCACTGGTGCAGTGCAGTGTGTGTTTATGTCGCCGCACACTGGCTTTCATACCCCGGCTGGGCGTGTCCCCGCTCCCAGTGCGGCTCCCAGTGCGAGGCCGGCGCCCTAGCGAATGTTGCCCTGGCACGTCTGTGTCCCGCTGTGACTTTCAGCACCGTGCAGGTGAAACGGTGCTGTCAACTTTGCACGGCGGAGCACCTTCTTTGTGCAACTGTCTGGTCTTGTTCTCTCACCCAATTTGTCACACTTAAGGCGACTGAGGCACATCTCTGCTGTTTAACATATTAACCCTCGCAGTGATAAAGGGAACCTGCACCTGTAAAACTGACGCTGCTCCACATAAATCAGTATTTGGAACAGTAAGGACTAGAATGTTTGTAGCCGCTTAAAAAATTTGTATCAGATTTAGGTAGTAGTGGGAGATGCATGTGAATGTATATTTCAGGAAAATATTTCTCATAGAAGCTTTTTCTTAAACATCGAACTGTGGAGAATGAGATTATGCAGACTTCCAGTTTAGTATTTGATGATGTCATGTTTCAGTCTGGGGGGAAAGTATGATCAGAGGAAAATCCCATGGTGGACAACAACTCTTGTGATTGAATGACCTCATGGGTTTTGACAGTGTAATTAAAACAGTTCTCACTTCGCATAGATGCCGAGCGAAGAAGTATGACTACCAGCATCTCCCCACCATGTCTGTGATCATCGCCTTTTACAACGAGGCCTGGTCCACCCTGCTGAGGACCATCCACAGCGTCCTGGAGACCACGCCTGCCGTCCTGCTGAAGGAGGTCATCCTGGTCGATGACTTCAGCGACCGAGGTGACTTCCCCGGTGGGCGGGGCCTCGTGTGCTCCATCCTCCCATGAGCCATGTGACCCTGCGGACATTTTCACAGCAGTGTCACTCGTCCGCTGGGCTTTGTGCGAATGGGAACCCAGCCCTTCTGACGCAGATATGAAGCAATCACACCGTTGGAATGTTTGTATAGAGAAGCAGCGAGCCAGGAAAGGCTTCCGACACCTAGTGGCTTTCAGCAAGTGGGGAAAGGCATTTTAGTGACGTCTGTGTCTTGTCTGACTTTAGCTTACATTACATTGCATTTTACTTTACTTATTTAGCAGAAGCTTTTATCCAAAGTGACATAAATGTTTGAAAGAGCTGGGTCAGACAGTCCCTGGAGCGATTGGGGTTAAGGACTTACTCAAGGTCCCAAATGTGAAATTACTCGGCCAACACTGGGATTTGAACTGGCGACCTTCCGATCACAACCACAGCTTGTTGTCGTCTCGGGACAAAATGTCCCTGGCCTGTCACTCCGGGTAATTTTTCTAGGCTGCAGTAATCTCCTGTGGCAGACATTACGCACTGATGTTGACGCCTGGTGACATCACTCAGGAGGGTCTTCTCCTGTGTAGTACCCACCCGGCTTTCAGAGGGGCTGCCAGACTGGGCACGGCCTTAGTCGCGGCCCACAAGCGGCGCCTGGGGTTTGGCAGTGGGGGGGGGGGGATTATAGAGATCCTGGCGAGGGGGAGCCCCCAGTCATTGAGATATTGTCACCTGCAGCGTATCTCAAGTCCCAGCTGGCCGAGTATATCAGCGACTTGGAGCGAGTGCGTCTCATCCGGACCAACAAGCGAGAGGGTCTGGTGCGGGCCCGACTCATCGGCGCCACCTACGCCACAGGGGACGTCCTCACCTTCCTGGATTGTCATTGTGAATGTGTTCCTGGCTGGGTGGAGCCTCTGCTGGAAAGGTGGGGCACTGCAGTCCACAACTAACGGAAATCACCCCCCCCCCCCCAAAAAAAAAAAAAAAAAAAACCTGAGCAAGAATGTTAATTGTTGCATATATAAATGTGATATATTTATGTGATATATTTATGTTCATGTGATATACTTATAGTTATGTAGACGTCCCGTGTCTCCCGTGCTGCAGAATCGGTGAAAACGAGAGCACTATCGTGTGTCCTGTGATCGACACCATCGACTGGAACACGTTCGAGTTCTACATGCAGACGGAAGAGCCCATGATAGGGGGCTTCGACTGGAGGCTCACTTTCCAGTGGCACGTCATCCCCGAAGCGGAGCGGCACAGGCGCAAGTCCAAGACCGACCCCATCAGGTGGGGTCAGCGCGGCGCCGGGTTTTAACTGGGCACCGCAACACAAGGCGTATCTGTGGAAAGCCTTGTCGGTGTCCGTCTGCAGCGTGACTGAAACGTGTCAGGGGACTTCCTCAGCAAGTGCTGTTATCGTTAATCGATGTAAACTATTAATACGGTGTTATCAAGATGCATGCAAATGAGTTCAAGCTAGCTTGGGAAAGAAATGTGACGGTCAAGACATTCCAGTAAGTGAGCTGACTAATTGATTAAAGCTGGAAATCCATCCATCCACCCATCCATCCATCCATCCAATGTCCAGCCCCTTATCCAATACAGGGTCATGGGGGTGGGGTGGGGTGGGGGCTATCCCAATCAGGACAGGGCACAAAAACACCCTGGATGGGGTGTCAGTTTATGCTGGAAATGAATTTGCATGATACTGTATTTGGGTCTTTTTAAATAACATACTATTGTATGCGGGAAACTCGACTGAAGTAGATTGCCTGGCTAGTTTTGTTTTTCTACACCGTTGTCAGTTAAAGCAGTTATTTATTTGTATGTGTTACAATGGATTTCTGTTATTTCATCAACATACTTAATGTATTCTGTTGGTTTGATGAATAATTCATTAATCTGAAGTCATTTTTATCATTCTGGTTTGGATGTTACTCCCCCACATGCTGGATATTTAGATAAACTTGAGATAAACGTTCCTGCCTCCACAGTCTTCCTGATGAATGTGACATCATTTCCCTTCTATGGTGTCATCCTGAGCCCCATCTCTTCCCTGTTAGGTCTCCCACTATGGCGGGGGGCCTGTTTGCCGTGAGCAAGGCCTACTTCGAGTACCTGGGCACCTATGACATGGGCATGGATGTTTGGGGAGGGGAGAACCTGGAGCTGTCTTTCAGGGTGAGTATTAAGTCCCGCCCACTTCAGTGAGGCTAACTTCCTGTTTAGCATCAACGTGGTCCCAGCTGAATGTAGAGATCGCAGTAGTTAAATTATACAGAGGGACAGTGACAGAGAGACACACGTACCCAAGATTTACTGCCTTCGCTCGTGTGAAAGTAGTGCGGATGTTTTATTAAAGAAAGATAAGGTATTCTTCAGCGCAATGTTTTATATATGAGGAAAGAAAATACTTTTTTGGAGTCTTGGCCATCCATTCATTTTTAATGGCATGTGGCTTAGTTTACAAATGGAAATCAGGGATAACGAGGGGGCTGTGGGGGGGACGGCTATGTGTTTGACACAGGAAATGCCAAGGATTCAAAATTATTGCTCAGTGGTCTAAAGGGTAACAAAATTAATTCTGCTTAAGTATAGAAATTCGCAAAAAAAAAAAACACTGTTAAACATAAAGTAAAATGATTATGTGAAAAGTAACTTTTTTTTTTTAAAAGCATCATTGTAAAAACAGCCCTGTAGTTAGACTTGATTTGTGAGGAAAGTTAACGTGGATAATTTTGGCTTTGTGATTCAGAAGTATTTTTGACTTAATTACAGGGTTTGAGTTGCATGTCTTTGGCACTCCCTGGGAGGCCAGATTGGTGAGAACCTGTTCTCCTGTGGCCTGCTGGAACCCACCAAGCGTCCCTGATTACCGTCCTCTGGGGGCGTCTCTCCTCACAGGTGTGGCAGTGCGGCGGCGCCTTGGAGATTCACCCATGCTCGCACGTGGGTCACGTCTTCCCCAAGAAGGCGCCCTACGCACGGCCCAACTTCCTGCAGAACACGGTCCGTGCTGCTGAGGTGTGGATGGATTCCTACAAGAGGCATTTCTACAACCGGAACCCTCCGGCCCGGAAGGTAGACCCGCCGATGAGTCAGCGCGGCCTCCTTTCATTGGACCGTTCCGTCCCATGATTTATGATGTTTTATATATTTTAACGGTAGCAAACATCAATATATCTGAGAGCCAAGACTGTATTCCCCTGGGGGGGGGGGGGGTTGTCTCCTGCTGGAATTACTCTCACTAACATGCCAACTAGAGGTGGAGGTTTCACCCATCCTCAGCCACGATTGACGTTAAAACTTTAGATTATACCAGTAAGTGACTGAACAGTGACATAGGAAACAATATTCAAAAGAATTGATACTGGCATAAGTCATGTGGTGAAAAGGGAGAGTGTGGCTGGAATGATACGGTAAATGTCAACTGGAGCCAGAATGGGCGGGAGGACGTGACACTAGGAGGAACCGAAGAGTCGTCCAAAAATCTGGATGCAGCGCTTGAGTTCCTGCACTTAAGCTCAGGGGCTTGAATTTCATAGTGGAAACGGACTTATAGCTCAAGTTGAAATGACACTGTCACTTTGTAGGCAGGGTGAATGAAGGGAGCGTGTAGCAGGGCCTCTCAAATTCATTCTGCTGGCTGACTTCAAAGTTTCATATGTCCTGGTGTCACTCCTCCGAAAAGTACATTATTAATGTCAGGGATCTTTGATCAAACTGTGAATTAATCGTTCTGGCTGCCAAGTTGGACCTGGGGCTGCTCACACCTGACAGGAGACTGATAATAGTTACATTTCGACATTTATATAGCGCCTTTCACAATCCCGGGATCGCTTTACAAGGGGAAAAAAAAAATCTGTAATCAGGAAGAGACAGTAGAGAAATGTTCATGGAAGAGAAATATCTTTAGTTCAGATTTGAAGGAAGAGAAGGAAGAGCAGAGTGACGGAGAGATTGTGGGAGAGAGTTCCTTAGTTTGGGGGCCGTGGCGAAGAAGGACCAGCCACCCGTGATGCTGTGGTACATGGAACAGCGAGGAGATTATTATTAGAGGGTGAGTAGGGAGTGTGTATTCGATACAGAAAAGGCCTCAGAACTCCTACTATACATGTTCGTACATCTCCATTGCAGCGATCGGTATGATTTATGGAATGAAGTCAGCAGGTGGGGACATCTCAGAGCATTAATAATTAGAATTCATGATTGATAGCGACTCCGAGCATCTCCAGACTCATTTATCTCTGTTACCCCTAATTAATCTGAGTTTTTCCCCTCGCGACTGTCTCCTTGGCTACAGGCGATGTACGGAGACATCTCGGAGAGGAATGTCTTGCGGGACAGACTGAAGTGCAAGAGCTTTGATTGGTACCTGAAGAATGTTTACCCGGACTTGCACGTCCCGGAGGACCGGCACGGCTGGCACGGAGCCGTGAGTCACCACTGCGTTGCTTTTTTTTTGTGTTTGTGTTTGTGTGTGCGTGCGCGTGAGTATGCATGCCGTTGTGTTCTCCATCTCGGTGCCTCAGTCTAAGCCCCGCCCACTGGCCCGCCTCCCCCCAGGTACGCAGCGGCGGGATCCACTCAGAGTGCCTGGATTATAATGCCCCAGAGCACAACCCCACTGGAGCTCACCTCTCTCTGTTTGGTTGCCATGGCCAAGGTGGCAACCAGGTAATTATCCATTTAAAATGATTTAAAGTGATGTCTTTGTATCTGTCAGACGTTTTTATTACTAGGGTTGCTGGGATGCAGGAGATCATAATGTTGGCTGATGCCGAGTGACATTAGACGACAAATATCCACGTAATTGATTAAATGACAGAATATACTGCTGTGTGCCTGTGTGAAATGACTGGCGATTCTGTAGTAACAACTTCAATTGCAATTCATGTCACCCAGTTGACGCTGCCTAGGGATGTATATTTAATGGGGGATGGGCAGCCGCGTGTGTCTCCTGGCCAATAAAACTCTTTATTCATTCATGTGACGAATCAAGTGTCTAAAATTGTACTGAGTGCAGTAGGAAATCAATATTTCCACCGCCGCAGTATAACGGGAAGCCAAAGGGCTGCATCCGGGCAGATTTTGGTTCACTTTTAAAAATACATGACATGTAAATGGAGCAAGTATTGTAGAATATTTATGGAAAGGGGAAAGTGAATAGTTGGCACTGTGTGCCAACAATGACAGCAACGAAATGTGTCCTCTGCATTCAACCCATATGTGACATAGCAGGGGGCAGCTAATTCAGCGCCCGGGGAGCAGTGCTTGGGGGCGGTACCTCGCTCAGGGTACCTCAGTGGTGTCTTGCTGGTCGGGGATTCGAACCAATAACCTTTCGATTACAAGTGTCTATCCCTCACCATTAGGCCACCACCAGATTTACATGCTCGCCAGAAGTGCTAAAATGAGTGTGGTGGTTATACATACATGTTATGCCAAGTTAGCCTAAAACAAGGCTAAAGCATTTCTGAGATACCAAACGCTGCGGCCCGAGTTCCAACTTTCTGTATCTGTCTTACTTTATCTGCAGCGTGCCCTTTCTTTAGGAATGTTGTCATCTATCATAATAAAGGGCATGTCTCAATCCAGGCGAGTGTTTGTTCATGCATGTAACAATGGAGCAAAGGCTGAAGTCATTAAATTTAATAACACAAATAACCAAAAATGGACTGAAATGGTGTTAATGTCACATTGCTTTTAGGGAGAAAGTGAGAAATTCAGCCGCAGACAGCTTGTAAAGACAAGCGTGTTGCACTGGAGGCTTGTTTGTGAGATGAGGCTAGCATTCTAACTTTGCAATTTTATCCCGATCGATGTCACATAGAGAGATTTCCTTATAATTAACTGACTACTATTATTTTCCCCCATGCGCAGTACTTTGAATACACCTCGAGGAAAGAAATTCGATTTAATTCAGTGACAGAGTTGTGCGCGGAGGTGGCTGATGGTCAGAGCCAGATTGGGATGAAGCACTGCTCACAGGACGGTTCACTGGTGCCTTCGAATGTCATCTGGGAATTCCGTGACGTGAGTGTCAGCTCGCCTCAGAGGCGCGTGTTGTTACCTGCCACTGAAATATGTGAGATGGTAAACATTTCTGTTCTGCCGCAGGACGGAAGCATCTACCACCCCCACTCCGATTCCTGCATCACCTCCTACCGCAACCCAGAGGGCCACACGGACGTGGAGATGAGGAAATGTAACCCAGGAGACACAAACCAGCAGTGGAAGTTTGAGTGACCAGGAGAGCTGAGGTCAAGGCCTACATGCAAGGCCGCGTGGGGACATCTGGAGACTGGGGGAACCCACAGAGGAATAAGCCTCTGTAAAAGTGTCTCTAGGGTTCCCCTGACGAGAAACTACAGTGCCTCACAGAACAGAGTAATGTCTACAACAGCAGCTCGTGGGACAACAAATCAGACATAGCCAATCAGATTACAGAGGAGGTGGGACCAAGACATCTGATTGGTTAGTCGTGCCTCTTGTTGCTTGGATCCACCTCCTCTACAATCTGATTGGTTATCTATCTGAACCAATCATTTTTCCTTCAGCCCTCAGAACATTTTTGTGTAAGTAAAACTCCCACGAGCACACCAATAGTGCCAAGACATTTTGTGTCATTCTTATTAGTTTTTTTTAAATCATAGTAATTCTGTGTTTATTTTTTTTACAAAAAAGCTGATAACCCTAGATAAGGGAGAAAGCCTAAGTACTTTACATTCACAGAAAAACTTATAAGTGGTGAAGATTTCTTGAAATCGGAAGGCTAATCTTGTATGTTGATGTTATTGCACTAGTTGTTCTGTGAACGTTTGGGTGCCTCTAGTGAATTTTCACTTCAGGAAGGAATTGCATAAGACTTTTCAGGGACTGGTGATGCTTTAATTCTGTTGTGGTACGTGTGTCGTCTAATGTTTTGTGCTTAATGCTTCGATTTAAAGGTCTTGAAAGGGGACTGAGGGAGATTGTATGTTTTACGGCTCCCGATGGGATTTGGGCGATCAGAGAGGCCTCATTGTGGATTTTGTGGCCAGCGTGACACTGATCAGATAACAGTGTCTTGGGTCTCGTGGTTCTGACCGCGCACAGAACTACCATAGTTCTTCCTGGATATGTTGCTTATGGAGAGGGGGGGGAGCGCTTTTCTTATTAGATGTACTTCAAGATAGGCATGGAATTAAAGCTGCCTTTGTGTTATCTCAGAGCACTCAGAAGTACCGTAGGAAAGCAAAATATCATATATGGGTGTGTCCAAACACACACTCGGCCTCTGCTCTCTGAAAGCCTCGTTCTGTCCCTCAAAAGACGACCTACACCTCCTATATATTGTGCTTCTATAATGTTATTACAATGCCTTTTTGTTTCTGCTGTGTGTGTCGAATACGCTTCGGCTGAGTAACGGTCCAGACACGGCCTCACCCTAATAAATCTGCTTAGTTTAATCAGGTAATCCCTTGTCGCTGCAAACCGGCCTCCCGGGACTGGTGCAGCAAGCAGGCCTGTGACGTCTGTAGACGGCTGAGCATGTCCTGCACGCACTCATGTCTTCTATAATGATGGCAGCTTGTTCCTGGCTGCAGTGTTGCTTCCCTTAAAGGAGCTGAATGAAAAAGCTTGATCAGTCATCACGCACCAGCGCTGTGGAAGAGCGGCACGCTAATCCTCCCAGACGGTTTGTACTGCGCCTTTTCAAATATCAGCCTCAAAGAAAATAGCTGAAAAACCAGTCTTGCAAAAACTATTCAAAGCTGATGACTTTAGTTCATTCTGTGCCTTTTTCTGTGAATCATTCAATGTATAAAGGGAACAGAATGGAACAAAATAAAATATTGTCATATGTACTTAAACTACTGACAAAGCACCGACTTTTAAAACGATTGCTTTGTAAACATGCTACATCAGGGCTTCGTAATTAAAATCTCTAATGAAAGACTGTGCTCATTTGTATTTTTACTGTATGCATATAAAGTACAAGGGGCAAAATTGAAGACAGCTTGTACAAAATGTTTGTAATATACTGACTGCATTGCTGGGGGAATTCAAAAATATTCCTCACCGTTTGATTATTTGAAGGGAAGTATTATTGTCCAATGTAAAGATGTGTGAAAATTATATGTTCTTTCTTTCCTAAGTCACAATCGTGAACATTGTCTTTTTAGCTGAAGATACAACATCCAATTCATTCGTGCAATTGTGAAGCACAACGAGACTGTTATACTGCCATCTGGTGGTAGCTAATGGATACTTTTGCACATTTTGAATTAAACTAATATTGAAAGAGTGCTGCAGTGATGATTTCCCAGTGTTACTTTGCTTAAAGCTTCTTCGGCTTTTTAAGCGTTTTTTTTAAAGAATAGTTTAAGACCTGCCTACATAAATACAAGAAGAAATTAAACCGTGCGTGTCAATCATACCTAAAGATCCAAACAGGCATTAAAATGAACTACTCTCAAAATAAGCTTTTAGTATAGCAGAATTTCCACCTTAGGTAGAAGTGCCATAAGAACATTAGCCTTAATTCACTTATAAGTGGCTGGGGTAACCAGTGACCTCAGGATGCAAACTTCGTGTTACATCAAAAGAGAATTAAAAGTAAAAGCCATTTAGACAGCTGTAATATTATTCCGTCGTACTTGGTCACTTGAGAGTAGCATTACTCAAGTATGGAAATTAGATCAACAGACGAATGACACTTGCACTACACCTAAGGTGCATGTATATACTTAAAAACTGCATGCCATTAACGTATAATCGACGCACTTAATCCTTCGTGAATGCAAAGGGTAAATATTTAACTAAACACGAGTGTCTTTATGTACACAATCACGCCATTAAACTAAACATTAGACTCTGTTCCGTGTGCTTCGTATCATGACGATCCATATACCCACGCTATGGGCGACACGTCCTGGCACTTAGCTGGCTTGTAGATTAAGTCAATTATAAACGACAATGTGCTCAAAATTCCCACTTATATCACGCAACTCCTTTACTGCTCACTAATTCAAGAAATGTCAATTTTGTCCCACTATTGGCAAGATCTTATGCATGGATAATTAAATGTATTTTTATATAGCGCCTTTCACAACAAGATGCTTTACAAAGGGTGTCTATCGGTGAAGACAGAATAATACAAACAGTGAAAAGGGAGGACAAAGAAATGACAAAGTCAGATGACAATGACATAATTTTCCTTCAGTAATTCATCAGTGTCACAGGTGTTAATGATCAATATACCGAGAAGCACAACAAGTATATCTAATGACCTATTAAACCTCACTCAAACTGGTACCTTCACCAAGCCTGCCGGAAAAAATAACTTATCCCAACATAAATGTACACGGTACAGCCCTGTGGTTGTTTCTACCCTTATATATAGGTCTAGATAAAATAGCCTCCCTTTGAATAGAAATATTACTTAGGCCGATATTAGTAGGATATGACATTAATCCTCAGCCTTCATTTATTTTTTCTGGGTTTATCATAACTAGTCATTTGGCAAGTGCGTGCTTTTCAGACAAGTAGTGCTAAATTAAGATGGTGCATACAATAACATTGAAACGTCTTCCTGAAACGATAACTGCATGATACAGGAACGCAGAGGATACAGACAACAACTTCACAACGGGGATTAACGCCGATAAACTCACGCTTTAAACAACGGATGAGTTGAGGTGGAGTTAAACATGGAAAGTGAGTCAAGTAAATGCCAAAAGCAGGTCGCAGAGTGCATCCAGTGTGTTTAAACTTTAAGTGCTCCTATTTCTTTTTTACGCCGATGATAAACAATTCACGTATCATGTCTTCTATAGTGACATTCCCTGGCCACTTAGTCTTAATTCTTCAGATGCCTGGTACCTGTTTGCCTACCCGGAAGCAGTAGGTAGCTGACTAAATCAGACCGTCAAATTAAGCCAAGCAAAGGCAGAAACGGTAATCTTCGCTTATGTTCTTTCCGCAGAAGGCCCCGATTATAAACTACCAGCAGGTCTTAGGTCGTCACACCCATAAGAACTTGCCGGACGTTTCCTTCCCACGCAGAGTCCTCCTCCTCTCCTGGACGCGCAGCGCACACACGCCGTCGATTCGCCTTCATGAGTGATTTTCGCTTGATCTTGCACAGAGATTGTTCCTCCCCGATGTTACTTTCTTTTTGCTATGGCGACTATGAAAAGAAAAGTAACAGAGGAGCTCAAAGTGGATCTGGGTTAACCTCGGCTCCTTGTAACTCAGAAGACTCTGTGATTTGACCTATTTTTCCTCCTGTGCTAATCTATTTATCCGGCTGATCCTTTTTTCTACCTCTTGCAATGTGTGATTCGGCTCTATCGTTCCTGGACGTGATCTGGAATTAGAGCGACACGATCCTGTGACACCTTCGAGATACTTTACTAAAGCAGGAAGCTACCATGACAAGCGGGATATTTGATTACAATTTAAGGACGGTATGTGGTTTGACTTTTATTTAAGTTTGCCACCAAACGATCCACTTGGGGTAAAAGTCGCTTTCGTTCAGCTAGTCCCCGGTTTCGGGGGAAAACGGAAAAAAACACGTAACTCTGGGGCTGCTGGAGTGAGAAAGAAACGTGCTTTGTCTGGATTACTCTTAGTCAAGAAACTTTTATAATGCCACCCATTTAACTTTTAAAAAGTAACTGGAAATAAAAGCGGGGAATAATGGCAGTCTACTGGAGAAAGCGCCGATCCAAGCTGATACTTTGCATAATTGGAGTTTCTCTTTTGGGGTATTTTATTTTTCACAAGAACACGGATGTTGGGTTGCTAGACAAAAGATATGTCGCAACTCGTGATGACATGGAGGACGATGGATTAATAAAGAGGCTGGTTTATGAAAAGCCTCCTCTGGACGTCAATGCCCTGGGTGAGATGGGACGAGCTGTCACACTCGACTTGAATGAAACGGAGAAAAGGAAAGAAGAACTGAGTATTAAAAAACATCAGATCAACATATATGTCAGCGACAAGATATCCCTGCACCGCAGGTTACCAGAAAGGTGGAATCCGCTGTAAGTTGCGAGTTGTGCCCTTAACCAAGAGATGCAATATGGATCTGATCGGTGGGTTTTGGTTCCGAAGTCTAGGTCATATAAGTAAAGGTCGGACAGTGGTCTGAATAAGGCCTTGCCACATGACATGTGAAATAAACTCAATGAGCGCATACTTTAAATGTATATCACGCGGACCATATTTTTATTGGTAAAATGTCCCAATAATACTTTGATAGAATAAGCAATTTTAAGTATTATTGCTTGAAAAGCTTTGGATACATTTGAGGGCCAAAAAATTAGAAATGAAAAATTAAAGAAGAGCGGCAATAACCGTAAAGTAATTAAAGTTCATTAACTCTTTTAATATGTTTTCATGATTTGGCCAGAAACTGTCAATGTAAACTGCCGGAATCTGCCACGCGCGAATGAAGTTGTTTAATTTCACTACATGGTTTGCATTTTGACGTACAGATCCCATTAATATCAGGGTCGCTCGTTTCAGGTACTGTTGTGTTTGCCTACTGTGAAATTAGGTCCATTTTTCACTAAAATAGTATTATTCTGTCTACCATATAAAAAATGTAAGCGCGTTTCTAAGAGAAAATTATGTAACAACGAATGAAGGGCAATACTGATAGAAGTCTGTATACTTTCTGAATGGCATCTTTTTTACATAGTTGCAAGGATGTGAAGTATGACTATCGCAAGCTGCCGTCTACGTCGGTGGTGATCGCCTTCTACAACGAGGCGTGGTCTACGCTGCTGCGGACCGTGCATAGCGTGCTGGAGACCTCCCCCGACGGGCTCCTGCGGGAGGTCATTCTCGTCGATGACTATAGTGACCAGGGTAAAACACTGGAAACCGCTTTTGTGAACGGACAACGACATGAAATGTTTTGCTGTTATATTGAAATATCCGCAGCGCCGTATTCTGTTTGTATATCTGGACGATATAATGATACCGTTGAGTATAATAACATTACTCTGCTTACCCTGGGAATTAGGCCTATTGCATGGCTACTTCTTGGAGGTCAATTAACCTTGTGCTTATCAGTACACATGCTTAGATAACCAACCATTACAGATTTTCTGAACTGCAGTGCACCTTTCTTACCAGACACACAGACCTCGTAAATTTAAATCGGGTCAGTTCGGTTCTGGGTGTCGGAGGGGCATAGATACCCTGGCAGATCCAGGCGGCCCCAGCACTTGTGAAGGGCCTTTAAATACACAAAATAATGAATAAAATTGTATGGGACTACGCCCCTGGCCTGGTTCACAGGTAAACTTAAAGTTGATTTTTACATGTGCCTAATATACGGATAATTTGCTACAATGTGGAACAGACGTTTTCAACACTTGCTTACAGCAATACAGTTCTGCCCTGTTTTGTTTTTGTAGTGAAATTAGCATACATTTCCGTGTTTGGCATGTGCAGTGCAGTTACCTGTTTTGTATTGGATCCAAGCCCAAATTCAAGAGGTGTCTGTTCAGCTGTATTTGACTCACCTGGGCCTTTGTGGAATGTCATGCATGTATGTGGCACGATTCTGGATGCGCTGCATTTAAAATGCCGTAAACAAAGCCTGCGTTTCCACCATGCAGACCACCTGAAGGAGCGCCTGGAGGTGTACATATCTACCCTGCGTAAGGTCCGCCTGATCCGTGCCCGCAAGAGGGAAGGTCTGGTTAGGGCTCGTCTCCTGGGTGCTTCCATCGCCACGGGGGACGTGCTCACCTTCCTGGACTGCCACTGCGAGAGCCACGAGGGCTGGCTGGAGCCTCTGCTCCACAGGTGGGCCCCCCCCAGGCTAAACTGGCCTCATTTACGCTAATATGATGCACTTAGTAGATAAAAACATTCGTGCGCACACACCTCCAGCCGCTGTTCCCGTCAGATGGAAAGAAAGCATCTGGGAAAAGAGACGATCAGCAATGCCGGAGCAGGAAGCCTCAGGCTAGAACCAGAGAGACAGACTGTTTAAGGTGGTTGTTATTTGGGCCGTCTGCACCGGCTTGCTCAGGGAGCGCCAGTGTCGTCATGGCTGGCAAAGGGTGGAGTGATGCGTTTAGGATACGGGTCCCCAACTATTTTTCCCAGAGGGCCAAATTCCATCAGCAACACGCAGCCAAGGTTGACTGTGTCTGAGAAACATGAAACTTAAACCTGACTCTAGTCATAACCATAACCTTCCCCCGCAGGATCAATGAGGAGCCGGCTGCCGTGGTGTGTCCCGTGATTGACGTCATTGACTGGAACACCTTCCAGTACCTGGGCAATGCCGGGGAGCCCCAAATCGGGGGCTTCGACTGGCGGCTGGTCTTCACCTGGCACCCTGTGCCGGCGTACGAGCAGGCCAGACGTCGTTCTCCCACGGACGTGATCAGGTCCGTGCCGCAGGCACAGTCACCGCCCGGGGCCCGGTCTTTGGGGTTAGGTGTCTGTACCTTTGCCCAGAAGGTTGCTAGTTCAAATCCCTTGGCTGGCAGAGCAATCATATCACTCTTGACTTTGTGCTCTGACCCCAGACTTTGCTCTCACCTGTATGTAAGTATGTATGTGTGCTTTTAAGAGCGTAAGATGTTATGTGTGAAACCCTATGTGCAGCACCAATCAAAAGTTAGGACACACATTCATAGAAAGGTTTATTTGTAGACTTCTTTACATTTTAGAATAATTATAAAGACATCAAAACTATCAAATAACATCTATGCAATTGTGCACTGACTAAAAAAAGTATTAAACGAAAATAAACTATTAATTGGGGGGGGGGGGCACCGTTGTGGGTTGAGACACAGAAGGTTGCTGGTTCAAAGCCTTGGGTTGGCAGAGTGATCTCAGAATCGGGCCTTTGAGCAAGGCCCTTAACCCCAATTGCTCCAGGGACCGGCTGACCCTACCGTCTCCTATATGACAAGTTTATGAGGTGGCCTCCTGGGATGCTTTTCCAGCTGTCCTGAGGGAGGTGGCATATATGCTGAGCACCTCCCTGGCTGCTTTTACTTCATTGGTCAAATTCTTCTGTGTTTAGATCAGGTGGCCAGGTCATGTGATGTGACATTCTATCACTCTCCATTATAGGTGGCTTTTGCTTGCACAAATGGCAAATAAAGTCTTGTTATAATTGTAAAGCAAGCCGTGGCCTGCAAAAGGGCAGAGATGCATCATCTCCCTGCCGAGTCTATAAATTATCGTGTTGTGCTTTTCAAAGTCCTGCCCAGAATTAAACGCACCTAGGAAACAGAATGTTTGCTTCCCTTTTGTAGGTCTCCTACCATGGCTGGGGGTTTGTTTGCCGTCAGCAGGAAGTATTTCCAGTATTTGGGCACATATGACACTGGAATGGAGGTTTGGGGTGGGGAGAACCTGGAATTTTCCTTCAGGGTAAGCTTTCCTCTTACTGTACAGCTGCTTATTCACCTAGAACAGTGTTTACCAATCTGGTCCAGTTTAAGCCCACAGTTTGTGGACTGTCTGGCAGGGAGCTGGAAGGGAGCAAAAAACTTGGACTGGCTGTGAGTCCCTTAGGACCGGATTGGAAACCACTGACCTAGGGCCATGTTATATATCAGAGCTCTTCAAATCTGACCCTCGATTCCAAATCCAAACGATGTTTTCAGTTCTCCCAGGTAGTTAGTTTAATAATGACTGATTCTGATTGGTCAGAGGCTTCACACCTGGCTCACAAGTAAAGGAAGGCTGGAAAATCAGCAGTGTTTGGACCGTGATTAGAATAGCCCTGTTATAGAGTCCTTTTAGCTGGCAAGAGCCCCTCTGTGCTTTTTGATCTCCATGTCACATGAGTGGTAGTTTTCCGGTTGTCCTAATAAAGCTGTGAGCACAGGGTGAAATATTATAGCTCCAACTCTGCAGGAAACTGACTTGTGTTTTTCAGTGGAGGATGTCACTGGAAGGGAAAAAAACGTTAATTTTGTACTGTGTTTAAGTGCCACTAATTAATTTATGGCTTGCCATTCAGAGGGGGCTTTTTCTTTCTCAGAAATGTTAGTCTCTAAGGGACAAAGAGTTCTTGGCAAAATATTGAGTTTATGTCCTCTTTTAGTAGAAATAGGGATGGAGCCTTACAAGCCAACAGTGGGTGGGTACTGTGTGATGTCAGGCACTGCCTGGTTTTAAGCCAATGGGAATCAGTAAAGCAACTGATGGGAAGTGGTACAAACCAATGGGTGATTGACAGGACATGATACCCTCACCCAGCATGTTATTGGAGGCCTTGTTTCCAACAGCAGGCCTTCTTCCTTCCTTCTTAAAGCAGGCCTTCTTCCTTCCTTCTTAAAGCAGGCCTTCCTTCTCGCTTTAGGGTCCTGTCGCGGCTTCGCCGTAAGCGGATTTAGTGCTGTGGAAGCCGCTGTTGTGTACGCCTGGCAGACTGCTGGCATGCCATCGGTTGCCCTAATTTGGCGACTCATCTTAACTTCACATCGTGATTTAACAAACACTCCCCTGTGCTTTACCAGCTAAAAAAAACACTTGGCAACACATAGTCATTTAGTTACCGATGGCCTTATTTATACAGGTTCTACTTCTGTCTGGTTATATTAGTCATTCATATTAAAATTCATGCCTGTGCTGTTTTAAAATGTTAGATGCGTACTACTGTTGGTTATTATAGACTTGTTTTTTTAATCTTAAAGTGGGGGAAATTGCTAAATGTTTTATTCATTTTGTTTGAGTGTCTGCTTGACGTGATGGTGTGCTTAGCGCCTCTGCCTTCCGTACACGGCGAGAAGGAAGGCCTGCTTTAAGAAGGAAGGAAGAAGGCCTGCTCTCTGGGTGGAAATGCCAATGAAAGCCCAAGTGTAACCGGTTCCTCTCTGCTCCTCAGATCTGGCAGTGTGGCGGCAGCCTGGAGATCCACCCCTGTTCCCACGTGGGACACATCTTCCCCAAGATGGCGCCGTATTCCCGCAGCAAGGCACTGGCCAACAGCGTGCGTGCGGCCGAGGTCTGGATGGACAAGTACAAGGAGCTCTTCTACCACCGCAACCCCCACGCTCGTCTGGTAGGCCCCGCCCCCCCCCAAGCTGTCACCTGACCCGCTTAGATATGTGCATGTGTAAAGATTAAAAAAAAAAAAAAAAAATCTTTGTGATGGATAATGAACACCTGAAAAGTATCGGCTGCAGGGATGTCCCCTTAGTGTCGCCTGTGATGTCATTCTTTTATCGAATCAGCTAAAGGAGCTCAAATATATTCTGCTAGGACAGGTGAGGGAATCACCGTTTCTGTCATTGGGGGGCATTCCCAAGGGAAGGTCTAGGTGTGCACATGCGCACAGCACGTTATCTGGTGTGGTCTCCTTATTGGAGACTCTTTATCTGCACGTTGAAGACTTTATACCACATCGTGTCCAGGCACATTAACATCAGTGATGCTACGTTAACAACTGAGTGATGTTTAAAAACATTCCTGCTCTCTCTCTCTTCATATCATTGCCCCTCCCAATTTAGAAGCATCTGGGTCACCCAGAACAACATCAAAGAATGCCTTGAATTTCCAGGTCCTGTCTTTTATAGGTAGTGTAGAAACTTGGCACTGATCTGGGAACAGTGGACGTGAGGGGAGCGAGTAACAGTAGACTGGTTTGGTGTGTTAAGTTGTGGACTTTGGTCGAGGCTTGATGCTGATCCGCTATCACTGTAAATAAGGTAGAAGACATGAAAGCTACCATGTCAAGCCCTCAATCAGCACAAAGGAGCTTTATGAGCACGGTAGCTGGATGCGGTGTACGGCCTGTCATGGGCTTTCTCTCTGGACACCTGCGCAGTGAAACCCGTCTGCCATCCAGCCGTAACCCGAGATGACGATCAGGTGACACTTTTGATGGATGCAGAGAGGCCGAGGTGATGCCGTCGTGGTCGGGTTACTCGGCCTGGGTGTTGCAGCGGCCAGTTAGCGTGCCCGTGCCCAAGGCATCCCTGGCGGCTTGTAGCTAAAGGCTGTAGCCCTGCCAAATGGGATCAGGTGACGCTGATGCCCGGCGGAAGGCCGGCGTACTGGTGCGGTCGTGCCAGGCCAAACCCGATCTGCCTCCGAAGTCTGTTATCTCTGTCCGAGTGGCGGCCAGGCATGAAATAAAGTGTAAGCTAATCTGGGCCAGCCCGCGTCTTTTATCCGCAGCGGTAAGCACGACCCTAGTGACGGGGATCCAACACAGGGCTATGAAGTGTTTTGGGCAAGGCACATTTTTCGATATTCATCACACGCATGAATAATTTACTTATGTAGAGTGATTCCGACACCAGTTCATCATGTTCATTAAGAACGGCTTGCAGACACACTTGTTTGATTTTGACGACGCGTTTTATGTTCCTTTGTGGTTGCCTTGTTAATTTTCCAGAGGTCTAGGGGAGTGGGGGGGGGGCAGGGACAGTCTGAAGTTTGCATCTGATCTTAGGTTTTCCTGCTGCAAATGTATGGCGCAGCGACCAATCACAAGGCGCGTGTAGTGCCTTCACTCCATCCCTCATTCTGTTGCATCGTGTTGATGTGTCTGGCAGACCTCTCCCAAGAAGAGCTTTATTTTGTGAGGAAAATCTCCCAAAGTCACTGCGGGGGGAGGAGGGGTGGAGGAAGATGGACTGGATGCGTGGCATGGGATTGTCAGGCAGGACTGTGAGCAGTGATATGTGGGAGCCGAACATACTCTCTACTTAATCCGTGCGTATGGATTGATCGTGTTCAACCTGAAGGCCTCTGACTGCGCTACAGGGGTGTCTGCTATGCTCTATGGGAAACACTAGATGGTGATGTAGAGTCATTTTTTCGAGAGAACCAGCGTTACCATGGCAGCAGTCCCCTTACATTGGCAGAAGATAATAAAATTCAAGGATTTTTTTTTTATGTGGTTAATGGATTGTATGTATTGAAATAATAAAGTGCACGGCAACTGGTCTTATTGTATTTATGTGTGAAACAAGGCTGTTAGATATCATTTCAGTATTCGGTCCAAATAAGAATGGGAATTAAAGCTTCAAAATGAGTCATTCATTCTTGTATAAAAACCAAAAAGATCCAGAACATTGACATCTTGGCATTATGTCCTGAATGCAAAAGAAAATGTTATTCATGCGATGAATGATTCAACAAGTAACTTCTTAGACAGTCTTTGGTTTCAGTGCAATTGTAATGATTCATAATATTATAGATTAAGTATTTGAAAAGGTTTCTTGCCATTGACAGCAATAATTCACTAAAGAATAGAACATAAATGCACAAGTAGATAGTATCTCATTCTATGCTATGCTTTTGTCATTTAGGAAGCATGCAGTAGCATGTGTAGACTTTCCTTGATATGTGGATCTGTGCAGTTAAAATTAGAAATTAATGTTTAGATGCTTAATGATTAGTAGCTATTGAATCGTCGCCAACAGTTTAGTAGTGAAAAGAGTGTAGTTAGAATGTACTCCCTCCTTCGCCAGTGCACTCTGTATTAGGACGTTATTTTGATTCCACGTTGGATTTTCAGCTGAAATGTAAGCCACGTATCGGAGCGCTTCTGACCAGTTTCCGGGTGCAGGACACTAACTCCAGTGTCCTTATCCTGGGTCGTCGTAGGAGGCCTATGGAGACGTGACAGAGCGACGGAATCTCAGGAAGCAGCTGGGCTGCAAAGACTTCAAGTGGTTCCTGGAGAATGTGTATCCGGACATCAGCGTCCCAGAGGACAAGCCTGGGATGTTCGGGATGGTGAGCGAGAGACTGCACGCCTGACGCACATGCAGGGCTAACCGTGCCACGCTCTGACACCTCTCTGCTGTTGTTCTTACAGCTAAAGAGCAGGGGACTATCCAACTACTGTTTTGACTACAATCCCCCAGATGACCATAATCTGTCTGGTCATCGAGTCATTCTCTACCCCTGCCATGGTATGGGTCAGAACCAAGTAAGGAGTTAATCTCTTTATAATTTTTGTGGGAACTCTCCTTTCACAGGACTCTAATGACACCAATTCCTTTGTCCCCGTGGTGACTGATAATGAACCTCAGTTCAGTATTTTCTTAAAACCTAACATGATTTGTGTTTTGATAACTACATTAGCGTGTTAACACTGAAAACGACTAGACAGCTTTATTTCGAAAGCCATTCCAAATAGTTCAGCCAACAAAGCTCTTAAAGGAAGTTGGTAAATGGAAATTTGGATCTTTATTCCCAAAAAAAAAAAATCATGCATCGTTTGTGTCATCCTTAATGCTTAGTGCATGCTCAGTAGAGGAATTATATAAACTCTTTTGAGACCTACTTTACAGCCAGGCGGCATTAACCTGAGCTTCCATATCCGGACCTCCAAATCTGAGGCAGGGTCACGCTGAAGGAGACGAAAGAGTGCCGTAGTTGCGTAATGCCTCATCGATGCTGTGCTCTTCACGGCAAACCCTGCTCATGTCTCTATTTTTTTCCCACTTCTAATTCTGAGGCCATAATTCAGCATGTGTCCTACCCATTTTGCCCAAACGAGGCCAAACTTTCACTTACCGCAAAAGAGAGGAGGAGATGTTCATATTTGAGGAGAAGGGCTCTTTGGAGTTAGCTTAATTTCTTAGGTGTACTTTTGCTTCTGAGTTAGCATCCTCAGATGTCCTTTTGCTCCAGTTAGCGTCATGCCTCAGCCACCACCATGCTCCCGAGTTAGCGCCATGCCTCAGCCACCACCATGCTCCCGAGTTAGCGCCATGCCTCAGCCACCACCATGCTCCCGAGTTAGCGCCATGCCTCGGGCATCCCCTCGCTCCCGAGTTAGTGTCGTGCCTCGGGCATCCCCTCGCTTCCGAGTTAGCGTTGTGCCTCGGCCACTACCATGCTCCCGAGTTAGCGTCGTGGTGTCCCCAGGCTCCCGAGTTAGTGTTGTGCCTCGTGCGTCCCAAGTTAATGTGTCGTGCCTCAGGTAACCCATCGTTCCCGAGTTAGCGTATCATGCCTCTGGCGTCCTTTCACTATTAATTGCAATATTTGGGACTGGTGTTATGAAGTGTTCTGTGATATCACTGGTTTATCAAAGTATAAGGTTCTGGGTTAATAATATGTGTTCTGGCCTCCAATTGAAGGCGGGGGTTTGAAGCCCACTTCTGACAGTGATTATGGCAGTAGGTGGTGTGGTGGTTTAAATTGAGTGCGGTTCTTAACCTTATTTGCTACACACATAAAGTAGTAAATCATTTTCATAATAGCTACAGCTAATCAGTCCAATGTTAAAATTTAAAAGCATGTGATTTTACTAGGCCCAGGAGCAACATCTATGCTGGCCATGACTGTTAAAATAAAAATGCTTTTAAAATAATTTTCTCTGTCCTGTTGCCATTAAGGACCGGGGTGTGTGCTTACACTCTGTTAGACCACAACTTGGTCAGCTAGACAAGTGAGGTTATATCTCAACCAACCAACCCCCCCTGCCTGATTCCTGACAGTTCTTTGAGTACACCAGTGACAATGAGCTCCGCTACAACACCCGGGAACCCGCAGGCTGCGTCGCTGTGGACTCCGGGGATGTCTACCTCACAGTGCACCTGTGCCACAAGTTTGGGCAGCCCGTGCCTGACGACCAGAAGCTTATCTTCAGACAGGTCAGCAGTTGGTGCCATATTGATGGACGACAGCTCAAATCCCCAAAGGTTGCTGGGTTACACCCTGTAACGACTGTGACTGTAAAAAGTATCACTATAATATTAATACAAACAGCATCATATTGTTGTGTGTGCAAGAATCAATGTGTGTGATTTATAAGGGGGTGGGGCTGGAATCGTTCAGGCCTATTGTCTACATTGTCTGTGTGTAGATAATGCCTTCTGTATAAATGTAAAGCGAGACCACCATCTACAATGGTTGTCAGTAGGCATTGTTCACATCTCCCGTCACCAGCCGACGGCCATCTTTATTCAAGGGTATTAAAGTGTCCATAATTAATTTGATGTCATCATCACCTCCTTGTCATTCATCTTCCTTATTTTAGGACGGTTCCCTCTTTCACACCCAGACGAATATGTGCGTGGAAGCCATAGCCAAGGCAACTAGTGAGGGGTCTGCTCCAGCCCTTCGGCCCTGCTCCAACTCCATCCACCAGAAGTGGTTCTTCGAGGAGAGGTCTTAGGGGCCGCTGACCTACCCGTGGTGCGGTGTGGCAAAAGGCCCTGGCCCCAGTTCTTGCTGTTGATGGCCATCCTGGGCCATTCTGGAGCTGAAATAAGCACCTCTGAGCTATAGCATGCTGTGCTTGACCCGTATGGACGGTGTCAGTGTGCCTGTAGTTAAGACTGCTGTCCTAAACATGATTTTGTCACACTGCTAGTCAACAGGATGCAGGTGCCACGGAGGGAAATGATGTTAACAAAAGAGCCTAAACAGTTGGTAAAGCTGTTTCGGATCAGATTCTGATATGCTGCCATTTGGGAAAAACTCCTGCCTACGAACAACTCCTCTTTTGTTCAGCTGTGCACTTTCCGTAAAAAATGACCCCTGTCTCACATGCCGTCATCAACATTCAGGGGGTTGATGTGGGTGTAGGAGAATCTGACGGCTATCTGCAGTTAGCTTGTAACATATGTCAGTATAGAATGGTGTTTCAAACATGACCTCTAGATGGCATCCTGCTTTAAAATTTGCTTTTTATTTACGACCCCTTTGGTTCACTGCTGTCATAAATGGTTGAGGTTAGGTGTTTTTACCTTGAAATACTATTGGCTTCACTTTAGCAAACTACTGAGTAATCCACACTATGGGTTTCCAGCCCATCTGTAGTCCATGCTTGATTGGACATTTCAGTACTTGTACTCATACATTAGATAATGCACGTAAATGTCTTAAAGTCTTTGTAATATACATAGGAAAGTTAGACTTCTTGATAATGAAGGAAAAGTAATCGGGAAAAAAAAACTTCATTTTAAATTCTAATGATTGATGGGAAAACAGCAATGGATGATTTAACAAGTTTAAAATTATATGAAGAGATATATATTTTAAATGAATCTTAATATTAAATACAGAGTATACACTATGGTTGTAAAATGTTCATTAAATTGGTGTTTCTTATGAGCAGTTAAGTGAATATTCTGTCTTCTGACTTGGAAGACATTCATGTTGTGTTAACTTACCCAATTATAAGTCAGTAATTAGGACTATGCTAATACTAAGACATATTACCCTTTATCCTGTGACAATGGATCATAGATATTGTTGTCGCGTTTCTGTGTAAGACGATCAGCTCAGTGTAAAGGGCCTGGTTTTAGTTCTGTGCCTTTTCTGGTGAAAAAGTTAAATGAAGTGCCTTGTATTTTTTTTAGTTGTATTTTCGCACACTTTCCGCAGAAGACTTTTTGAGTGTTTTTTTTTATTTTTTTTTTTTAATGGCTTGCTTTTTTTCTTCTGACTCTGGCTGCTGACCTTAGAGCACAAACCACTGGACCAGCAGCTGCTAAGGGTGGGGGGGGGGCTGCTAGCAGTTACGCTAATCCCTCAGATGAGCTTAATGCCAACTTTAGGGCAGGCTCGCACTCTTAAAGCTGTTTGAGATGCTGTTCATATCTGCCATTCCAGTCGCATGCAGAAAGCCTGCCCCTTTCCTTCAGATAGATGCCGGCGATGTTTTACACTCCTGTCTATGCAATTCCATCAAAGCTGCATCCCTAACTTTTTAATTATGCAAAAATGGGTTCTGTAGATCTGGCATTTTTGGTGTTTGGAAATTAAATGATTGTGGGATTAATTTTCTTATGGTGCCCTGGACAAGTGAAGTATATGAGATTGTCTTTTTTATTTGCATACAGAGGATTATTATGAATAAATGGTGTTTGCTGGTGTATATGTTTTTCTAATCATTAATGTTTTGAGTTTGTAAATGTTACTTCAGGTTTAATTTTGTAATTTTAATACAATTAAAAGTGAATATGGGTACAGTGTTCTGAATGACCTTTTTTAATTGCACTATATGACCAGCACATTTGCATCCGGAAGGAGACATTTCACAAGTATGTTTTCCACTACAGCCTCTTTTTGCACTTTATCGTTACAGTTTTCAAAGATTCCTAAACCACAGTACGCCACAGTTTATGAAGGAGAACTTCAAGGAATCTTGTTTTTCTATGCCTTTTCAGCAAACGTTCGGAAGGAGACATTTACCACCTACCTTTGAATATAGGTCTGTGTTCGATTTCCAGTCTCTCCAGTAGGTAAAGTTTAATTTAGAACCAAAAGTGATTGGTTTTGGCTAGAACAAATGAATAGAATTGAGAGCAAGAGCTCGCACCAAATCCTGCTTCCCCTTCAGAACGGCCTGCAGCCATTTTCAATGACATATTCATGATGCCATTTCGTATTCTTTTCTATCTATGTGTGGGTGTGTTTTTTTTTTATTATCTGCCATACTCTGTGTTTGGGAGGGATTAGTCCCTTTAGCTAATGTCTTAGGGATGCTTAAGCTAAGATAAGCAATATTATCATTTGTAGAGATGTGGTATTTTAAGCCACTGTATTTAGAGGAGCTGAGAAAAGCCTTGATTCTTTTTTTGGGAATGGTAGGATTAGGAGAAAAAAAGTTAGACTGCAAAGGTAGGGACCCCTCGGTTCAGGGGAGTGACTGTCACACGTTGGATCCCTGAAATAGAATGAAGTTAAATTAAATGATGCTTTATTTGCCATTTGTATAAGTAGGAGTGGGATGGAATTTATATGCCAACCTGCCTTCCTCTGAGACACACACACACACACACACACACATATTCAGGTGACAGCTCAAGGGCCTAAGGGTCACCTCAGTCTGGTGGCCCCAGGATGTGACCAGAATGTTATTTTGAAATATACCATTATGGGAAATGTGGTCTGTGTCACTGGTTCTAAACTGGTTTAGCCTCAGGATCCACATCATTCCTCAGTTATTAGGTCACAACCCTTAATTTGTTTGTTTTTGTTTGTTTGCTTGTTTGTTTGTTTCACCAAAACAGTGGTACAGCGGTAAAATTAAAATAAATAAATTCCAGGACCACCTTCTCCATCATTCGAGTCTACGGAAGTCTGACATTACAAAGAATGTTCTTTTTTTTTTATCACCCCCCAATCCATGAGCCAATAAAAGTGATTAGCTCACCAGTTAAGATCCACTGGCCTATGTGATGTACTTATGCACGATTGGGCTGACCTGGATCGAGCCTCTGAAAAGGAGCTGACTGGGGTCAGAGGCACCCTGGATTAGCAGGGCACCATCAGGAGCACCAGAGCACTTAACCTGATTGCTGGAGCGGAGATGTGACCTTGATCATTGAGAATAACAGGGTGACAATACTTCCTTTTTAAGTCATGATGATACCTGTGTATATACGCACACACAGACAAGCCTTATGATGGTTTTGACTTTGATGGACTATGAAGGTGTTATTTTTTAAAACCAATGGCTTTTTTTATCCTGGTCCGGGTAGCAGGGGAGCCTGGAGCCTATCCCAGGCTGCACAGGGTATAAAAATGGGGTATACCTTGGATAGGATGCCAGTCCATCGCAGACTACACCGATTCACAATGATAAATGAATGGTAATTTAGAGAAGCGATTAAACTAATAGCATGTTTTTAGACTGCAGGTGGAAACCTGCATGACACGGACAGAACATGCAAACTCCACACCTACTGAGCGGAGGTGGGATTTGAACCCACAACCTTGTGGTGGTGTGTGGCCACTAAGCAACCCCTATATTACATCACCAATATTTTCAGATTAAATTGTTATTTCAGATCTGCCAAAAACTAAGGCAAATTGATACAGTTGTGAGGAAAATGCGAGGCAAGATTTATTATCAGTCAAACAGTGTAAGATATGTTCTACATTGCTTAGTCTGTGTACTCTTATGGGTTTATTTGATTGCATCATTTTTGCCTCATTTCCAGTATATGACATTTCAGGTTCAGTAACTTATTACAGTGTGATCACTGTCAATGACTGGCAATGATTTCTCGTCGCAGCCCCGATCCACAGTCCTTGAGCTTTCCATATCTTAATTTTCCTTGTGTAAACCCCCTGGTGGTGGAACAGCTGTCCCTAGACATGCGGCCTCTTATACCTTCCATTTCCAGAAAAAGATGGAAAGTTTCAATGCAGCCCAGTTTGTGTGATGTTTTCATTCACTTATATTCCTTTTCTGTCACTGTATCCCTGGAATACACTTTTCTGTTAAATACTTCAATGGTATTTGATCTGCCATCAGCTGATTATCACCTATTTACCACATGTTTTTATATATATAGAAGTCTTGTAGTCAAGTGGGTTTATTATCATACCGTCCATATTTAGGAATATGGTGGCACAAAATTACATTCCCCCAGGACCACGTGCATCACACAAACAGCAATTGACAAGGGGAGGGTTTTCAGTACTTAAAGTGCAAAACAGGGGGGCCAGAGACAAACCATTTTGTGTCTTGTGTTTAAACTGAAACCATCCATAATTAGAGCTTCTGCAAACACTTAGAAAACCACCACAGGATTATATTGGTGTGTTTAGATGAAATACTTCTGCTTGCAATGCCCTCAATGCACAGGTCTGCTGTATTTGGGCAGGGTACCGCTTTCCTGGAGCACGGTGTGTACTGTTCAGGCTTGGCATTCTTAACAAATGATGTTTGTTCGGTCTGCTCACCTTTTTTCCCCTCTTGTACTCTCTGTTCTTTTTCATGTTGGGGAGGAAACATTTCCTCTTGCTCATTGAGTCCTGTGTCCAGCCCTTTTTCACTTTGACTGAAGTTTCCTGCTTTTGAAAGGATAGAATCTCTACGTGCCACTTCTGGTTTGGGGCAAATGAGAACACTGGCTACTTCAGCGACGTTCCCACTAGGCATGACGAACAGGTTGTCAGGACGTCGCTGTCACTCAGAGCAGAGCCGTCTACCTTTGAACCTGTGCTCCTCTTCTCCATCACACCAGAGTTTGATATCTCCATGATCTTTCTGAAGGGATGTGGTTAGATGCTCCTCTCTCTGAAGGCAGATGAGACCTGCCAAAATGGCTTTTCATATCTATGTCCAGAATTAGCAGAGAGGAGAAAAATGTCCACACATGGAATAGTTTTGTACATCTAAAAATATATCTACTGTCACAAAATCATAAAATAAAATAAAAAATGGTATCAAAATAGTGCATGCATGGGCAGATGGGTGGCCTCGCACCATGAGGGTTAGGGGTGAATCTTGGATCTGCTTTGTCTTTGTGGAATTTGCAAATCCCCCCCCCCTTGTCAGTTGGGTTTTGCAGTAGCCGCCCTGGTTCCCTGCTGCAGTCCAGTGCATCTGAACTAGTTGGTATCTGTTATTAAGTGCCCACAGGGTGTGACGGTGTGCAAGTGTGTCATGATATGGACTAGCATTCCAAACAGGGTGCCCAGCTGTGCACAACAGGGGCAGCATAAAGGTGGGGAAACATTACAAATTAATGTTTCAGAGAAGAAAAAATGAAACTCAGATCTCTCTTACAGCGTGAGTATATATATATATATACTGGCATGGAAAAAATTAAGAGACAATAGCACAGTTTTTTGTTTCGCTCATTTCTCAATTTATGTGTGTGCGTCTGTGAATAATATATGTTTTTTTGCAAACTGCAGCCTGGTTCTACTGTTCCTCATTAATAAAGGGCTTCTTCCTTGCTTTAAGGGACTTCAGTCCTGCTTCTAGGATCCTGTTTCCCAGTCCTTTCGAAGGTCACTTAATGTCATCCTCCGATTTATGAGGCGCTGTTAGATAACTTGACAGTCATCTCTGGCATTAGAAAGTCTCTTCTGCCCTCTACCTGGCTGGTTTCTGGTTGTTCCCAGAGTCTCACATTTCACATTATTTTGCTTTCTTAGAAATTTTGAGCCTGGAAGCAACATGCTGCTCAGTGTAGCCTTCTGCCAGCCGAACTAGGATTAAACCAGGATTTAACAATCTCTGTGGGAATTTTTGCCCATTCATCCAGAAGAGTGTTTATTAGGGTTAGGCAGGTATAGTTCATCCCAAATATGAGGGTTGAGGTCACGGCTCTATGTGGGTCAGTCAAATTCTTCCACACTGAACTCACCCAAACATGTCTTTATGGACCTTGCTTTGTGCTCTGGGGCACAATCATGCTGGAACAGAAAAGGGCCGCCTTCCCCAAACTGTTCCCACACAGTTGGAAGCACAGAATTGACCACAATGTCTTGGTATGCATTAGGTGTGGTGCTCTCTTCACTGGGGTCTAGCCCAGTCCATGAAAAACAACCTCATACAGTACCATCATCCCTCCACCAAACTTTACAGTTGGTACAATGCAGTGAAGCATGTAACGTTCTCCTGGCATCCGTCAAACCAAGACTCATCCATCAGACTGCCAGACAGAGAAGCGTAATTCGTCACTCCACAAAACACGTTTCCACTGCTCCAGAGTTCAATGGCGGCATGCATTACATCACTCCATCTGACACTTGGCATTGCGCTTGGTGATGTGAGGCTTACATGCAGCTGCTCGGCCATGGAAGCCCATTCCATGAAGCTCCCAGTGCACAGTTTTTTGTGCTGGGGTTAATGCCAGAGGAAGTTTGGAACTCTGCAGATATTGTGTCAACAGAGCTCTGGTGACTTTTATGCACTATGCGCCTCAGCACTCAGCGACCCCGTTCTGTTACTTTCTGTGGTCTGTCACTTTGTGGCTGAATTTCTGTTGTTCCTAAAGGCTTCCACTTTGCAATAATACCACATATAATTGACCATCGAATATCTAGCAGGGACAAGGTGTCACAAACTGTCATTCTTACTACAAAGGTAGTATCCTATGACAGTACCACGCTTGTATTCTCTGAGCTCTTCAGAACAACCCATTCTTTCACAATGTTTGTAAACCTGACTGCATGGCTAGGTGCTTGATTTAATATACCTGTGGCAATGGGTCTGAATGAATCACCTGAATTCAATGATTATGAGGTGTGTCCCAAAACTTTTGTCCGCATAGTGTATGTGATGGCATTTCCTGAAGGTCCCATGTATACAAGGGTTAATATACAGAATGGTCTATGCAGTATTTGACATTCCTGCTTTTGTAGGCTTTTGCAACAAGATCCTATAGTTCAGGGTTATTTAAATGGACGGTTCTCGAGGTCCGAGCACTGCTGGTTTTCCAGCCTTCCTTTACCTGTCAGTCAGGTGTGAAGCCTCTGACCAATCAGAATCAGTAATTATTAAACTAACTACCTGGGAGAACTGAAAACAAGGCCTGGATTTGGAATCGAGGTCCAGATTTGAAGAACCCTGGTATAGTTGATTGTCTTCAGAGCTTGGTTAGTGATGTTAGGCTACTTGGTCTCTCTGTAAGCCACACAGTGGCTGGACGACATTTTTCATACTGCTTTTAAGAGGATTGTTCTATTTTCTGGCTTGTCATTCTGCTGTCTTTTCACCTTTGTCTCTCATCATCATTTCACTCCTAAAATTCACAGTTAATAAATACTTGCATACTTAGTTTTAGGCTTTCTAATGGTTTAACAGCTCAGGTCCACTTGTGGTCTGTGCAGGAATGACTAATTAAAGATATGCGCTTTGATACAGCAGACTTTGTCTCTCATAATTTCAAATAATAGACCTTTATTTTTTGTTTCAGATTTTACCTATACATTTTAAAGCTAAACTTTGTAGTATTCCCTTTACTCTGGTTGACTCTGAAACCTTGAAGTTAACTTGTATAGCTCTTAGTATTTTATATACTTCAAAATATTTTGTGTAGGTAGGGCCCCAAGAATGTCTCTTGCTTCAGGGCCCCCCGCCTTAATCCGGTCTTGTCCCCTGGGGTGCCTGCAGGCAACACAGCCCCCTTGGTTGTTCATGCTGTTGCCCCCTCACAGCAGGTCTGCCAGAAGAGAAAATGCACGTGTGCAAGGTGTCTGGAACCATGCCTGGGCCCCTTGATCCTGAGCTTGGCCCTGCCAAGAGGCCAAACATCCCGCTCTCCCCCCTCAGAGAATCCTGTACCCCCTCCTGCACCTTAGAGCTGGAGTCCAGGCTACCTGTAATAACCTGACCTTCTAGACACCTAGTTTATAGACACTGACCATCTGGAGGGAGGACTTCAACTGCAAGCTCAGGACCATACATGAAGGAACCTCTGGCAGGGTTGCCAGGTTGGTGCAATGCTGCCAGGCCTTAAAGGTCTATCCATGTCCCGGGCTGCTAACCCCTATGGACACAAACCTCATGCATCCAAGGTCACAAGAGTGCATTAAAACAGAAATGACCAGACTAACAAAAATATACAAATTTCTGAGGTCTACATACATTTACCAACTCTGATTAGAAAAGTATTTTACACGACAACTAAAACTATTTTCTGCTCTTTTGGATTGACTTATTCTGTGAATTAATCATAATGGTTAATTATGATTAAAACCATCTTGCATCCATTTTGGGTTGTTGTGAATAATGTAAACGTCAAATTTGTGTTTCTCCAACTGGTGCTACATTTCCCATGGCAATGAATGAGACAGAATTGTAATTAAAACACATGTATCTTTAATATCTTTATTTCACACACAGGATTTTGAGCATAAATATTTAACTTCTAAGGTATGAAACTTTATTTCCGTCACTGTGAGGGGTATGAGTCACGATACATTGTTTGGAATAGGATGAAAACTATGAGACAGGGAACAGACAGTACAGGCTCGTGTGTGTGTGTGGGGTCAGGGTTTGATGGAACCTGAGCACCTGCCTCTTTTGCCCAGACTTGAAAGTACCTCTCTTTAAAGGCACGGAGTGGCCCTGTAATGTTTGTGTGAAAGGCCTTGAGCACCAACCCCTCAAAACATCTGCCTGGGAGTCAAACATGTCTTTTGGTGAGACATGAAAAAGAAAATTCCCGTGAGTGAGCTGGGGGTCAGAGTCAGGACAGAGTAGAACCGTAGCCAAGTTTAAGACACAATCGATGGAGCGAACAAGGGCACAAAAGCCCGGTGACCCAGCTCATTGTGCTTGGACTCCAGGCAGATTCCTTCCCAGGTGACAATGATGGCATGCTTACATATACAGATTACAATGGATTATTAGCGTAGATTTATATATATAAAAAGTTTTGGGTGAGAAAAGTTGGTCATGGACAATATGCACTCATTTTATATTTCCACATAAAAAGAAACATTTGTCATTGATTTAATTGAGGTAAGATTATTATTTTTTTTAGTTTGTGGAAAATATTAATTAAATATAATTTAGCTGTTGCTGAGGGTTGGAAACAAGCGCCCCATATGTTGTATGTACACACTATGATCATCTGTGCATGAAATTGCATAAACTGTACTTATGCGTTTGATTATTTCCAATTCAGGCATTGGACAATGAATCTCACCATAACTCTCCCGGAAAGTGGAAAGACAGTGAAGGTGGACTCAGCAGAGAACAATATGCTTCACATTATCCACAGCCCAAGATATGCGCTGCTGGCACCATTGAATCTGATGTTTGTTATTGGCACGAGTGATCAAAAGTTTGACTATAGCAGCCCAAGCATGAATATTGACCCTGTGGAGCTCCCAAGGACCAGTTTTAGTGGAAACAGGAGAGTTGAGGTGCGCATTTAATTCTGCCATGAGTTTGGCAGCTGAGGTTTTATGTTTTTTGGATACAATCCAGGTTAGTCCCCGGACATCCCTTTCAGACAGCTTCCTCTTATGTCCACAGTTACTCCTGTTGGATGTGGTCCATCCTTCGTGGTGGTATGCTGACATTACTCTGGATACCGTGGTTCTCGATACATCACAAAGACTTGCTGTCCTGGTCACAGATGCACCAGCAAGCTGTGTACCAAGAATTTGTCTCCTTTTGAACTCTAATATGTCTCCTGTTATGTTGTGTGCATTGTAATATTTTATGTACAGCAGTGTTATTGCTCTGCTAATTCAACCTTCACACTCTGCTCTTACTGATGGAATGTGCAGTCAGTGAAGATTGGCCACCAGGCTGCGCATATATAGGCGTGAACCTCAAATACTATTGGCCAGTGTTTCAGTTTCATTGTCCAGCCCCTGTATTTATGCTGTAGTTTGCCTTAACTTAATTAGATAAATGTAATTTTGAGAATATTCTCAGTAACGGTATACAACAAATTATGTTTTGCATTCTTAACATAATCATTTGCAATTGCAGCAGAAACATGTGATTTCAAAAATCATTTTGATGACTGTCATCCTTTAGCTTCCAGTCATCTTGGGTCTTTTGATATCTTTGCTTTGTTGTCACAGTGACAAAAGACAATTATTGGAGCGACTCCTGTACTGATATCGCCAGGGGCAAGATAAAAACTGGCTGCCCAGATGGTGAGCAGAAAATGCAAGCGGTCAGCTGATGGCGGCGAAAGTATGTCCCGGCCGAAAGGAGGAGAGAGGGAGCATCTGCACACAGTTGTCGCAGACAGACAGGACAGTGAGGCCCAGCTGCTGAGCAGTGAAGCCATCATTTATCCTACCGCCATTTCTTTACTGGTACACTTCTGAAACAGAAATATTTCAATATCTGATCACTGTGATTACGCAGTACAATATGAGCACAATAACAATTTGCTTATTGAAAGCACATTAAAATAATTTCATAAAAATTATTGATGTGTATTATATTATATTACATACATTATTTATATTTATAACTGAGAAAGCAGGGTCAACATGTCCCGGGAGTAACTGGGGTCAAGGGTCATGCTCTGTCCAGGAACACAAAGAGCCACACACTAAATCCCGAACCATTTCTCTGATTTTTGCAATGGCAGTAATGTGATAGTTTAGTCATTTTTAATCAATTTTAACATATTGGTGTTTGGTCCTCATTCAGAAGCTGCTGATGTATTAAAGTCAGGCCTGTCTCTGAGGAGGAGTCGGACCAGGGTTATCGCCTAATCCATGCCAGGAAGGACACTTTAAGCTACTTCAGGATTTACAAACTACTTTAAAACTGAAAGGTCTCTGTGCTTGCTTAAATAGTCCAGTACTTCTTGTACTTTGACAGGTTTGTTTCCTTGATTGAATGACACATCCGGCTGATTCACATTAACATTAGTGACACGTGCATGGTTATAGGAAGCTGACCAATCAGCACACAGCAGGAACTCAGTGCTTCAGTGAAATTCAAGGTGCTCATTTACACAAAGATTTTGGGATTTATAAAGGAACACCATAAATAAAAGGTAACGCTTTACATTAATTGCATTATGCATTCACCTTCATAATGCATTCATAGAACATTCATAAGCAGCATGCAAGTCCATCTTATGGTCCTTACATCCCTTAACCGATTTAATATACATTAATAACAAACATTACATGATTATACACTTATAGTGTTTGTTATTATTATATAATATTTGTTATTAATATACATTACAGCTATTAAGGGATGTTAGGATGTTAAGGTATATATGCATGATGTTTATGAATGTTTTATGAATACTTAATAAATACATTATTAAGGTGTACTGAACGTTTTATGAATGTAATATAAAAGCATTATGAAGGTGCAGTTAATGTAAAGTGTTACCAAATAATATATAACCTGAAAAAGTATGCACATTTAACTATGGTCCACAGCAGTCGCACTAACGTTTTGGATGAAACAGAGAAAAGTGACATCTAAAGTTTAGATAGAAATGAGTATCTAAGTTGCATTTACAGTTTTAGCACGTGGTGAAATGAACATTAATAAATACAGTAACATTTTCAGTGCCGTTAATTGTGCAGTTTTAGTATTGAGACTTAATACCAGAAAATCTAGGGCCCTTACCATAGCAAAGGATGGAAAGAAGACAATCAGGGCCCACTTGCTGAAGACCAACATCTAATTTGGCGAAAACATACCTGCTCTTGGAATGAATGAAATGGCCAGGTACTTGGAGCTTGCATTCTCTTGGAAAGGTGTGGTCCACCTGAACCACACTGGAGACCTTGAAGGAATGCTAAGGGAGACAACATCAATATAGAATTGGTCCCTCCACAGGCATCAATATGGAATTGGTCACCTCTTTGCAGCTATAACAGTTGCCACTCTTCTGGGAAGGCTTTCCACAAGATTTTGGAGTATGTCTGTGTGCATTTTTGCCCATTCATTCAAGGATCATTTGTGAGGTCAGGCACTGATGTTGAACAGAAAGGTCAGGTTCTCATTCTCCATTCTAGTTCATCCTAAAAGTGTTTGATGGGGTTGAGGTTAGGGCTCTTTGTAGGTCAGACAAGTTCTTCCATGTCTTTTTGGACCTTGCTTTGTGTACTGGGGCACAGTCATACTGAAACAGAAAAAGTCCTCAAACTGTTCCCACAAAGTTGGTCACAAAGAATTGTCCAAAATATCTTGGTATGCTGAAGCATTAAGAATTCCCTTCTCTGGAACAAAGGTGCCTTTCCCAACCTCCTCCACCAAACTTTACAGTTGGCACAATGCAGTCAGGCAGGTAACGTTCTCCTGGCATCTGCCAAACCCAGACTCATCCATCAGACTGCCAGACAGAGAAGTGTGAATCATCACTCCAAAGAACATGTTTCCATTGCTCCAGAGTCCAGTGGTGGCGTGCCTTATTCCACTCACACTTGGCATTGTGCTTGATGATCTAAGGCTTTCATGCAACCGTTGGAGCATGGAAGCCCATTCCATGAAGCTCCCAGTGCAGAGTTTTGTGCTGGAGTTAATGCCAGAGGAAGGTTGTAACTCTGCAGTTATTAAATCAACAGAGCGTTGGCGACTTTTATGCACTATGCACCTCAGCACTTGGCAACCCCACTCTGTCACTTTACATGGTCTGTAACACGTTTCTGTTGTTCCTAAACGCTTGCATTTGGCAATAATTCTTCTTTACAGCTAACTGTGGAATATCTATCAGGGAAGAAATTTTGCGAACTGACATGGCAAAGGTAGGATCTTATGGCAGCACCATGCTTGAATTCACTGAGCTCTTCAGAATGACCCATACTTTCATAAATGTCTGTAAACCTGACTGCATGGCTGGATGCTTGATTTTATGCACCTGTGGCAATGGGTCTAAATAAAACACCTGAATCCAGTAATCAAAAGGTTTTTTTGTCCTTTTAGTGCATGACTGACACTTGGGAATGTCCTCAAAAACACCCTGAAGAAGCGTAACGTGATCATTTGCCAATACTTAAGATGCTGGGTTCAACCTCCCTCAGATACACCTCTGGCGTAATTCTATAGCCATATCAGTGTGGGAGCTCTGGGACAACCCAGCCCGGCGGTCTCCCTGTTGCTAACCTAGAACACATGCTTCAAGAAAACTGGTTCAGTCAACTTCTACAGGTGAGGCAATCAGAACACTGAATGTTCAAGGTCACCCAACAAAGACTGAACATTCCTTGCAGAGTCGGATATGAAGAGGTGATGACCCCTGCAGAAGCAAGACATCAGTGCAGAGAAGAGTTGGAAAGTCCTATGGATGGCAGAGACCTGAAAGGGAAAAACATAGACAAGGTGAGTCATGGGTGGCAGAAAGATCCAAGTAAAGTCTTCCCCTGTATCCATCTATGTGGGATCTAGCTCTGGAGAGGCTTCCTGACCATGAGTTGTAGAGGAAGAGGGAGGGGCCAAAGGGAAGACATCATATTGTGTCACGGCGCCTGTGGGGGAGTGGAAATGCTGAACCCATAATTCCCTTACCTGAATTGTTCTTCAAGCCAAACCTGGTCGCTGTGAAGTGAACAATACTTGCAAACTTGGAGGTCTCCATGGTGCCAGGCTCGCAGCTGGAGCAGACCTGGGACCTGAAAAGAGAAAAATGCGAGAAAGCACCAAAAACAACCTTAATTAATGCACACCCCAACTATAATCTCCTACAGCTGCTGAACAGTTCCTGACATGGACTTAAAGCCATTAGTGTCACGGATGGCCGACACGATGGGCGCGTCTGACTCATAATAATATCACAATGCACTCCTCTTTCCCATCTATAAGCATTGGTGCCTTGCGATGCAGTGGCATGTGCCAAGCATCTCAGTAATATATGACAATTAGCCAAAATAACAGGTTCAATGGAAATGTAGCTACATACAATCAATGAAAAAAGAATCACAACTTATTATTATTATTTAGCCTATCATTATCAAGGGAAGATTCGCTTTTGAGCAGGGCCTCCTAGAGGGTGGGGCCCAGTGCACCTCATTGACCTAATGAATGCTCTGATTAAGGTGTTCATATTTAATAAATAACAATGTAAATTTGTAGTTTGGAATTATTTATGCGGCAAGGTTCAATAGAAGCGAGAATGCCTGGTACAAAAATGATAAGCTGAACCATGGATTCAACAGCATGTGTATCCCTTTTGGCAGAAATTATGTATATACATGTTCTTTATATATTAGTGAAATGAGGATGACTACCCATTTTATTGTTTTCCACATAGCTGTATATCCATTGTTGTGTTATTTAAATGGTTTGTATAATGTAGTTCTTTTTTTATAAAAGAAAAAATTCTACTGTATTGTTTATTTCACCTGTGACTATGATTTGTGATGTTTATAATGCTTATATTACATAAGCTCTGTATCAAGCAGTAACCTTCCTTCAAATTGTTAATGATGTAGATGTGTGCATTTTGAAATAAATACATTTCAGAAATAATTTTCAGGGGGTGTCTGACACCCCTACCGATAGGGGTCCCCTTCAGTAGATTTTACTACCTGTCAATGCATCTGCTTGGGTTCCGAACTTCCATACTTCGTGGCCAGGAAACATCATCTGATAGAGACACCTGACATCTCTGTCGCCACCCGGCACAAAAATGTCGATAGCTGTGGCTGCTGGGTGTCCTGATGGGTTTTCGGCAGGGGGGCCACCAGCACCAGGCTAAGGTGCTGACCTTTGAAACACGATCAATGGTGCTCCGCCCCGGGGGTTCGGAACATTTTCAGCTACTGAGGGGGAGACAGGAAGCCCCAAGGAGCAAAAGGATGAGCTAATTGCTTAAGTTGTCGCTACCCTACTGGTTCAGCTGGTGGTACGAGAGGCTGCCTGGCTGAGCCATGGGGGGAGCTTTTACTGCAGATAAACACCTGGGGGTGTTTACTGTACGTCTTGAGGGTGACATTTTAGGATGAGCCCCGCTAAGTCACACTCTAGCATTTTTAGAAACATTTCCATTTCTAAATATTGTTCACCCCTGGTACCTTGATTATTGAACTTACATATGCATTTTGCATGATGAGGCACACTACAGCTGTATTTGTTTTTGTCATGGAGAAAAATCTTTCCTGCTTATATTCTGGAGACCAAATGAAACATTTCAGCTTTATGTCTATGTACTCATTTGCCACAGTACCAGGAAGGGTCTTTCACTTTTTAAAAAGACTAATTGAGTTCTTCTGACTTAATTTAGGCAAATTTCACAGCGCTTGCAGGTCAGTCCCTTATTTGCATGTAACTATAACATGATTTCTGTTGAAACGATGGAGCGTTAATGAAGAGTGTCGTTCGTAAGTTGAGCCGTTTAAGTTCTCTGTTATCAAACTGGAGTGGAGGGATGGTGTCACAGTATGAACCATAAATAATTTCAAAGGAGGAATTTCAATAAGATCCTTCTCTCTGTCATGTAGTTCCTTAGAGTATCAGCGTCTACCGCTGCTTTGCACCTTGTACATGGAAAAGGCTGTTTTTGGTGAAGAATAATCTCATAAGTAGTAGTCCTTCGATTTTGTGCAATCACTGTGTCTTGTTTGAAATGACAGCTAAATTAAAAAGAGGTGTGGTAAAACCGTTCTGTAATCTGAAGCCCTTTTTCTAATAATTTGGTTTAATAAATTGATTAAATTCTAATTAAATCTGAAGTCTAGATAACATTCTGTATTACACACTTGCCTGTAATGCTAGGTTAAAGCTGATAGTTTTAGCCTTTCCTGGCTTATATAAATGGATATTTCTTATTGAAGTGCTGAGGTTAAATACCCAATTTATGGGCAAAATGTCAGCAGCCCTGCTGGGGCCAGTGACTGGCCCAGGTCCTTAATTAAGGGGCCTCCCTGTCATTAGGACAGCTGATGACATCTGGGAATCAAAAATCGATATCGATGATATTTTCAAAGGAAACCCATTATCTGTATACGAGCCAAATGAGTCTTCCATCACTCCCCCCACCACTTTCCCAGGCACCCTAAAACTTAAACTCCTCCTATGTCTATACTACAGCCTTTTAACAAGCTTTCAAATTTAAGAAGAAAGGCATTTCAGACAGGCGACCACTCAACTGAATGCCTTCTTTCATCTGTGGCACTTTTTAAAGTCCTAATATTGTGATGTTAAGGGGTTTTAAACAACAGAAGTCAAAACTGGCTGTTGAGAAACCCCCTTCGGAGACCCCTGGCTTATGCTATGCATAAGAAATTTGCAGGCCAGAAAGAATCAGCAGACCTGTGACACCACGATCGTGTAAGCATGCATGTCCTGGTATCTCCCATAAATGGACGTGGTGATTTTTAGGGGAATCCAGCATTCCTGCTTCCTTACTCCTTCCTGCGGAGCCCGACAGCTGCACGAATGCACGGTACAACCCAATGTGAGGATGCATTAAGAACTTATGGTCCCATGTGAAAGATGCTGAAGAGAAATGGGTATAACGATGTTAACGAACGTTGATAATAATGCAACTAGCTATGTTAGACTAGCTCCTTTGCTCCTGATATGCAAATCAACATTGTGGTAGTTATGAAAAATGTATGTACATGTAATGCATTTGTGAATAGGCTTGCCAAGGGGTGGAAAATTTCTGGAAACTTTCCAGAAACTTCCCGTTCCATGGGAAGGTAATCAGGGGAATTTTGGAAATATTCCAAGTTGGAAACCTTCCATGGGAATTAATGGGAATATATGGGAATTAATGGGAAAATTCCCAGAATTTTGCAATCATTTATGTATTATCTATTGGATGCATTACTGTATTGTGGGTCTGTAAAACTGCAGTTTCAGGCTTGACCAAATGGCTGAATGACATAGAATACATAGAATGACACCACTGGTCAGGACCTAAATGTATACAATCAGCATTTCACACAGACACTGGGTTTGTTCCACGTTAAAATACGCCGTATGTGATGGTCAAGCCGTTGGTGAGCTTTTAATTTGGAAACACTCCTTAAAGGGAAGACTGCCAGCCTGGGAGCCTTTGAAATAATGATTCGATTAACTTCATCGGGGAATGAAAGTTTAAATGGCATTTCATTTGACAGGAATATTAGCCAGGGGTAATTTTGGCAGCTTTGTAGGAGAACCGCCCGCAGGTCCCTGCAGGAAGAGCTGCTATTTCGGGACGGGTGATGAAGCTACTCCCTGAGCTCGCTCACACGAAACCTTCTGATGTTCTGGTCAACAGCAGGGCTCGCAGAACAAAGGCTGCTGGGTGCAGGTCTTCACGAGGTCGGGGGGATTGGGGCAGGCTCAGCAAATGTGCAGGAGGCCAGCGTTTGTGACACGGATATCTAGCTGCTTAGACAGTGATGGATCGCCCTGGAAGGGATTCGATGTGGCGCCTGCTTACTGTGGACCGGCTAAAGAAACGGCCTTTGATTTGCTGGCAAAGCCTGCTCCGGCCCAGCGGTTTCCCCATTTAATTAAACTCTCAGTGCGAAAGTAGGATGAATGTTGTACACCCTGTCCAAATAATGATGTTAGGGGTTTGACTCTTAGTCTGTCAAACTCATTCTGAGCACGCTCTGGCCCATCTCGTTGGCTTATGTCAACTGTTAGTATTTTTATGTCTGGATGCTGATATGTCGTCTGTTTTGTTTTTTTTTTGTCCTGAAAACGGAGCACAAGAACCAAGCAGAGAAATCAGATTGACTGAAGTCAAGCCTGCTGTTCTAATTCGGCCTTGTGTGTTTTGCCCATTAATGAGAATGACAGTTTTTAATAAGAGTCCCAGGGCTCATGTGACACTGAGGCCTGTCTCACCATTGTGCCCGTCCCACATTTGCCTCAGGCTCTAATTAATATCTACTCTGCTGTTACGTACTGCACCCGAAACAGGGAGCAGTTTTGACGGGCTGACAGGCTGCCATCATGCAGCAGCGGGATTTTTCATTTGCATTTCATACCTAGTTTAGCCTCCCGTAATGGGAGTGAGGGCGATGTGGCACAGGTGTGTGCATGTGCTGCTGGTTTAAGCTGAAACGCTTATGACACTCGAGTCTTAGATTTTACCGTATCAGGTTGGAAATTAGTAGTCAGAAACAGCTGCTAGAGCCGTTACACAGCCTATCTACATGTATGTTTTGTATCACTAAACTTTTACATTTTGAAAATCGCCAAATTTTTTATCCCTGTAGGTCTCTTTTCTGAGATAAAGTTAGAAAAAATATTTGGTAATGCTTTACATTGACTGTACCTTCATAAAGCCTTTGATGCATTCATAGAACATTCATAAGCAGCATGTAAATATACCTTACCAGCTTAAATATACATTAATAACAAACATTATATGATTATAGGTATGTTAGGATGTTATATTATACTTATGTGCTTCTCATGAATATTATATGCGTTTTAAATGTGCACTGAATGTTCTATGAATGTATTATAAAAGCATTATGAAAAGCGTTAACAATTATTTTTGCATTGAAAAATGCCTTTATAACACCACAGATGTAATAGACAAAACATCATGCCTTTTATGCAGTCTTTAAATGAATAAGAGTGATCCTTTGTAAAGCTGCAATAAGCTAACTGGTTTCCCATGTAGGGCGCATCCCAGCATGAAGGTCATGGGCTCAAATACAGT